TTCATTTTCTCTTTCAAGGTATATTTAAAGCAAGTAGTATTCGCGATGAAGCTGCAGATGCAAAAGAAATTAAAGATGATAAAGGTAAATTCCAGAATTACTAGAGTAACTAATTAACTCCTCCAATGAACTTAACCAATGTCTTAGAAAGTTATCGTGGAAATGCTTGCTGAAGTAGAAACTTGTAGCACAAATAATAGCTGATGGATTCATACATACAATAATTTTTAGGAGAAAACTAACCAAGCATCTAAAATTGATTAAATAGAGCTATCATATTATCTTTTCAATAGTAATTCAATTTTCTTTAATGTTATTAACCAGCAAACAATGCCCTCTTTCAAATTTAAAGGAGATCTATGACATACTTCTTAAGTAGATACTAAATAGCAAAAGTAAAATACTCTATATTCTTTAAAATTCTTAAATAGTAAATTAGTTTTAAATGATGAAATTCGGTTTAGCCAACCCTTGATAGTATCGGAGCAATAAAAAATAATTTATTTACCGGAGCTTTAATAATTTTAACAACAAATCAACTAGAATACCGTAATCTCCAACTCTAAACCTTAATCCTAACCCACTTTACCATTTGAGAACAGTTAACTATGCAATTAATATTCTTACCTTATAAATGAATAAACAATCAGATAATTAGATTCATAACTTGTCTCAGCACTAATAGCATAACTAGATTCTATTGCCGTACACTCTTTTAAAGATACTGCTGTAGAGAAAACTGTGGATATGATCAAGGCAGAGGAAGTACAGGAAGAAATCATTCGTGATGATGATGATCAAGCTATGGAGGCGACTCCTATCAGTACTAAACCTAGTAAGCTGCCAATTCCTATCAGTCAATCCAAGGTAAATTAACACTATTTAGGTATGCATATGATTGCTCAAAATATGTCACAGACCAAAAATTTAGTCCAAGAAAGGAAAAGCATTAATATATACTTTGCAGCACCATAATTTCATCACCTTTTATAAACAATTTCTATAACTTTACTAATATCTAAACCGCATCCTAAAACAAAATAGGCTTGAATGGTAGTTTAAATGTATAGTTCATATACTCTATAATTTCTATAGCTAACTACTTATGATATATAGACTAAAAATCTGTTAAAGTTAAACAGGAGTGATTTATTATCGTTTTCTATAACCACATTCTAAAACAAAATAGCTTAAATAGGGATTCAAACATTTACTTCATGATTACTGCATGAGTATTAGGGACTAGTTACGATATATTGGTTACAGCAGAAAGCTTCTAAAATTGAGTAGAAGTAATTTATTGGCAGTAGATGATATCAATTAATTGAAGTGAGGATTTATCAAATAGTAATGTTAATCACTAAATTGAATATACTTAGTCATATACTTTACGGTATACCATTTCAAGCTCTAAGACCGAATAAAAATGAACACTAGGTGAATAATGACTTAGAATATTAGCAAGAAATTCAGTCATCTGAAGTTTTCAATTTTATTCACCAATTTTAAAAGATGAAAATAAAGTAAGAAATAAAATATCGGATAGATGAGTATCAAACAATTTTAGTCAAAATTCTGATAAAAAATAGTAATTAAAAGAATTGAAATAAGGGTTATACAAGTACTGTATATAATGTTCTGTTGATCAAGAAAAAACTTATTATAAAATCGTTTTTCACCCAGTTTTAGTAACTGTTTCACTTTTATGCATGGGTATTATACAGAAATATATACTGTAAAAGCTTAGCTAATAGTAGCCTTGTTATCTCTGAACTATATATTGATAGATTATTACTTGTAGTAGAAGGTATTTATAGTATTGACATAGGTGTTGCTAAGAGAATGATAGGAATAATAACTTGTAGCAATTTCACAGCTAGGCTAGAATCTATTCGCAAGATAGTAATGCATGCAATTTTTCCCCCTTTTTTCTTTGTCCCCATTTATTACAATTGCTGGATAGAAAACTAAGAAAAATGCGTCTGCCCGATAGGAAAGCATACAGGACACAACAGATGCAATTAAATTCACTGAAAATCATCTAGCTCGAGATCAACTTCTTGTCTCTAACCATGAAGAGCAGCAGATCGTTAATAAGGAAATTGAAAATTTACAATTCAGCGATAACCAGCAAATCTTAAATGATGAGCTATCGTCAGAAAATCCGACTCAACCTAGTTCTACTCTTGTTGAGCGAGATGATCAACAGTCTCATGATGATCAAGATCAGTACAATGATCAGATTTCGCTCAATAATTCCAATCAACATACTGATTATACGGCTGAGAAAGAGACTCAAGAAGGAGATCAAGTAGAGTCTAATCAAAAATTAGACGATAATTTAAATCAGTCAAATCCAGAAGAAATCGATCAAGTTACTCTAGAAAATACCAATGGAGATCAGAAAGAACCAGTTACAAGCTCAGAAACTCAAGATATAGAGCACGATCGCGAAGAAATCCAACCAACACCAATCCAAGCCATTGAAGTTCAAGAATTACTTGAGAACGACCGACACGATGCTGATACTGCCAACCATCAGAAGGAAGAGCTAACTGCTAATGCAGATGTCCAATATATACCGTCAAATCCTGAAGAAGTTCAATCAACATCAGTCCAAGCTACTGAAGTCAAAGAACAACTAAAGGGCAATCAGCAAATTGATAGCGCTAATAGTCATCAACAGACTGAAGATAATGTTAATAGCCAACCACAAATTGACCAAGAAAAAAAAAATATTCAATCATCTGAATCTGATGCGGAAGATACTACTAGCAAAACAGATAACATTAACAACCAAGAAAACACTCAGTAAAATTGGAGAAAGCAGAAATCGTGCTGTAATAGTCGTAATGAATTTATATTATCCTTCATTCCTAAAAATTTTTCTTGCACTATATAACATGCTAATCTTGTTAACGTAGATCAAGGCTAAGATTTATAATAATAGATCCTAGCCATACTATAAACTAATTCGACATAATTGGATTGTATGCAGAATACGATAAATCTATCATAGTTTAGTGGTCAAAAATCAGTTATATAGAAGAAACCATTTCATCCCTGACATATTTATATTATTTTATAATAATATTTACATGGAATAGCTAATTCTTGTTAAACATCTAACTTATCGCCAATTGATGTTGTTTTAACGTCATAATTAGGCCTTTAAGTCAGTTTTACAGACGTCTGATGATGCATTTCGCAGTAACTGTATCGAAGTATATCAATTTATTTAAATGTAGTTACAAGACTGTTTATCGGTCAACTATTGTTTTAAATTTGCTGTGTTAATATTCACCATAATTTACATCATACCACTATGAGGTAATGATTGATTTAAAAGTTTAATACTACTGCTACATGCGAACTGCACTGTATTCATTGTAATTTATAATTAAAGTGTTTACCGGTAGTCTTAGCTACATCATTTGTGGTACGAAAGCTAATTTAAATCACTGTGTTCAGTATTTCCTGTATATCTACGATATATTTACCTTCACACAGCTATTAAAATAATACCGATATTTATTGTAGCCTTCTATTGCTACTAGTGTTATCTATTTTGATATCTTATTATACTCTAAACTTTATTATTACTGCTAATTAAATCGGTCCAAAAGCGATAACTATCGATATATTCTTTATGCGATGAAATAGAATTGTTTGGTATAGGCTATTTGGCCGATACACCCAATAGCTATTTGCCTAATTATAATTTATAATTAACTTAAATTATTTATCATGATTATTATATTTATTTTATAAATAATTATACATTGCAAATAGAAAACATCAAACTATTGGCAAGATAAAATTAATTTATATATCACAATTTAACCATTTTGCCAGTTATATTGAGATTATTGCTTACAAACTAGGATCAATTCATATTTATTACAATAACGTTAAATAATATTTCTCTAGCCGCATCTTGTAGATATGATAACGTCTGCATAATGTTAAAATTTTTCATAAAATTCATCCTTCGTTAAACTTTAATAAAAAAGGTTTACGTAGTAGTTTACACAAATTTATAATAATTATTATAATTAACCGCCTATTTTAAAAACTATGGTAGTTAGTTGTAGCAATCAAGGAAAGCTTGCACAGTCAATAATACAAAATTATGGGAAATCTGGTCCCACAACATCAGTAACTCAACTATAAGCTCTAAGTCAACAGAATTGAAATTTATAGCATATATACATTTCAGCTATTATGTCATATAAACGTATAAAATAATATTTATACATACGAGTACATGCATGTCCTATTTCTAGAATACGAGCGTATTGGCGATACGCGATATAACGATGGCAGCGTAAAGTTAAATCAAGTTGTAGCGATTAAAAGGAACTATAAAATTTTCTTAAATTTTACCAGGACACCAAGCCATTTAAATTTTAATCTGAATTATCATTTAAGAATTCTTTCCTTTTCCTTTTTCTGCGATCTTGTCCGCTGCAGAATGATGAAGGAGACATACCCACAGACAAATCTAGATCAAGATCTTCTGGGGATAACTCTAATGTAAAAAGGCTTGAAGGTCCTACTTCTTTAATTTGTGACTGATGGTTGGTTTTAACGATATTCATTTTCTTACAGTTTTCGTAGTTTGCACCACCGCTACCACTGTTAGTATCATTCCTATTTGGTGAGACATTGCCTATGTGTTTTGACATTTGTGATAGGCCACTTGACGTGATAACATTGCCTTTCGGTATGACGCCAGTATCTTGCGAAGATTCAGTATCATTTTTCGATTTAACTGCTACTTCGCTTACTTTACTGCTGCTATTCAATGTGCTGTTTGCAGAACTAAATAATTCGTCCTTGTTCTTGTTTTTTGTCCTAACGTTTGTAAGTATAATTTCAAGATTATCCTCAGGTGGTTCAACATTCTTAGAAACCGATTTTTCTTGTACTTTAGAAATAGAATTAGAGGGTTTATCACGTTTACGTGATAACTGACTAGAATCAGCTGTAGAAGGAGACAAATGGCCTAAATCAAGTCTCTGTAGTACAAATTCACACTGCTTCTTAAATTCATCATCAGGATCGTCAGGAAATGACGAGTGTAAAACGTTTGCACCACCAAGTAAAGCTCCGCCATGCATTGATGACTCGATTAACATAACGGATACCACAGCGTCAGCAACTGTTACCTAATAGAACATATTTTAATATAACGTCAACAATTTGATAGAGCAGGATAGTAAAATAGAGTAACAAACCTCATTTCTCATCATTAGTCTCGCGTGAGCTTGAGCTAGCCTAACGCTACTTTCTAAAAGTCTTAAAGTTGTTCTGGTAGAATTCTTGTGGTCAGACTGCCTCTGTTTTTGATAATATTGCGAGAGAATTAGACTACTTGACGCAGTCATTTTTGGCTTGAATTTTTTCACGTAGCAGAGATAAGCTCGTAATTTCGTCATATTCCATAGCTCTGATTCACTAGTTAAACAGGGAAAGAAGTAATATAAAAGATAATTACCCATATTATAATTTAAATTACTTTAAGATCTTGCTATCTACGGTGGGATATTATACTACTTGCATCATTACAACACGAGGACACGTTTACCTTGTGTCAAGAGATCGGCTATTCAAGATAAACGATGATACCAGTTTGTCCCAACTTTCATTAAAATTATCCATCATAATTAATACTAGATCGAATCGGCTAAGAAGAGGACTAGCCAGTGCGACGTTAACGCTTACAGATTCGTTAGGGTCATAATTGCCTTTAGGATTAGTTGCAGCAAGAATAGTAGTTCGTGTGTTTAATTTGCAGACTAAGCCAGCCTACATCATAAAGGAATAACGTTTCTGTTTTCTTATAATATTTATTTAATAAGATATAATTAATTTAAATAAGTTATTCGCAAATAATTGTAATTCAGTATGGCATAAATTACCTTAGCAACACTTATCGTTTGCTGTTCCATCGCCTCATGTATACTTGTGCGATCATGTTCTTGAATGCTGTTGAATTCATCAATACAACATAATCCGCCGTCAGCAAGTACTAAAGCGCCAGCTTCCAATTGCCATTCTCCTGAATCCTGATATGAAGGCGACTCAAATTTCAGAATCTGACGACTAAAACTCTATACAAGTATGTAATAATGTTGTACATACTTTGACAGCGGTTACGGTTAATCCTGCGCTAGTGGAGCCGATACCGGTGGTTAAAACTGATCTCGGCATCACTCTAGCAGCATATTTTAAAAACTGTGATTTACCAGTTCCTACGATTAATTAGTTAAAGGGATTTAAATTAGTTAAACTTGAAAAAATAATATCGATTTCGTGACCCAATTGTATTTACTGTATATATGCAATATCTATATATAATACCTGGATCTCCGACAAGTAGTAGATGAGATTCTCCACGAATCTTTGTGCCAGATGAATCTATTCTTTGAACTCCTCCAATTAAAACTAAGGTTACTGCTAATTTGATTATGTACATACCATAAACTTGTGGACAAAAGGAGGATAGAATAAAATTTCGTCCTGCATATGGATTTTCTTTATAATTTTGCCAATGCTGAATAAATTGTTGCTCAAGTTCTACATGAGTAAACAGATGGATGTCCAGATTATTTGTGTATTTCGATAAATCATTCATATAAATGAATCGAAAAGGTAACACGAATAAGAATGCATACAAAGCTATTCTCTTACATAAGGCAATTGATGTAAACGAATGAGTGAGTGATTTTCTAATTACCTGGCGTAATAGCAATTCGAGTGCGCTGTTCATTATTAACTTGTATATGATTGACTTTGAGAACGATTTCCACATCACACCGTTGATCAGTTGATAAAAATCTCCATCTACGACAAATGAGCCCGGTCAGGGTAACATCATCTCCAGGTTTGCAAGAGTCAACTAAATCATCCTCTAAGACAGCTATTATTGACTGAGGGATCTATGGGTTTGATTTTAATTAAAGAAAATGATGACAGTTTTCAAGAAGGATATTATGAGCGCATCTAGTAAAAGCTTACGTATAATTGTATACGGTAGATTCTATCATTGCTTCCACTGTCAGCTTAAATATTCCGAACATACTTTACATTCTTTTAGGTCATTTATTATTAACTTGATTGTAAAAGCATGATTTTCACTATGGACGTTTGACCATGTCAACTACTTTCAGGTTAACTATCCCATGACTAGTACATTCTATCCTATCCTCTACTTTTTAGTTTAAATACTGTATGTACTGTATGTATATTGTGCGTATGTATAACTATGAATATTCCAATTCTAATTCTATGATGTGATTTATTTTTCAGCTTTATTATTGCCTGTTCATGATCACTATGCAATATGCACATTCTATGATGTCATCCACTTTCTCACTGCATCATTATATAGGCACGACTACTGTACGTCTATTCTATGATGCCATGCATTTCAGCTTCAATATTACGTAAGTACGACTATGTCCATTCTACCATGTCATCCATTTTAGTTTAATTATTACGTCAATAGGACTATGTGCATTCTATTATGTCATCCAATTTTAGCTTAATTATGACGTGAGTACATAGTAGGACTACCAGCATAGCATGTAGTGCTATCTCGTATACCTATTTCAGCTTAACTTAAACTATCATCATCATGAATTAATCAATTGAGCAGGATACCGTTCCCAGGGGTAATTTCTGTACTTGTTCTTGAATGACAATTTCTTGATAGTCACGATTTGATGGAGATGTCGATTCACCATTGGTCATTGGTATAAATTTACGCGAGGTGCAGCCATCAATCGATGGGCAAATTGTTGGTTTTTTAATGACAAAATTTCTCTCTAGTTCAACAGGTACTTTAAAGTTTAATCCACACTCGGAACAGACAAATGTTTTCTCGTATTCGAGTACCTTAGCTATGCCAGCTCGAACAACGTTGGCTACAAGCATAAGAATCAAAATCCATTTACAATACTTGTCATCAAGAACTTATGACTGATGTAAGACAATGATGGACAATTCCCTCGACCTGCTGTACCTGTTATGGAAACAAAACGTCCTACATCTTCTGATTGTGGAATGCTATAGCGATAGATTTCCTTGACGTTAGCATAATCTGCGTTGTGCAATCTCGAATGGATATTTTTCTTGATTGTTAGCCGATCATTTCCACTATGTCGAATAATATCGGTCTGGATTCGCTTGACTGCTTCGTCCAAAGTTGATAATAAAAATTGGGGTCGGTCCAACAACAACGGTAAGATCTCTTGAACTGTATTGGCCAAGAAGAAAACATCAATATTGATAGGATAATGGCGTCTTGGATCTTCCCCTAATAATACTGTTTCAATTTCTGTTGCAAGATTTTTGGTTAAGTACGATTGGATTAGATCAATAAAGTCGTCATTGGTTTGATCAATCTCTTGCAGCGAACATGTTGATTCATCACTTGAATTTGCCGCCATTCTTCCTCCATCGTCTTGGTACTGTCTAGCTCATTCTGTGTGGACGGTATGGACTGTGGACAGGACTGTGTTGAGTATGCTCACTCGCTTAGTGCTTTACAGTGTACAGTGTACCGTACAGTCATGCTGCACCGTGACGCTGGAGAACCTGTACACTGTACAGTACAGTACAGTACAGTACAGTCTACACGTGTGGACGGTATGGACTCTGGACAGAACCGTGTTGAGTATGCTCAGTGCTTTACAGTGTACAGTGTACCGTACAATCATGCTGCACCGTGACGCTGGAGAACCTGTACTCAGTACTGTACAGTACACGTGTGGACGGCATAGACTGTGGACAGGACTGTGTTGAGTATGCTCACTTATTCAGTGCTTTACAGTGTACAGTGTACCGTACAGTCATGCTGCACCGTGACGCTGGAGAACCTGTACTGTACACGACGTATGGACAGTATGGACTCTGGACAGGACTGTGTTGAGTACGTAACTTGAGTATGCTCACTTGCTCAGTGCTTTACAGTGTACAGTGTACCGTACAGTCATGTTGCACTGTGACGCTGGAGAACCTGTACTGTACTGTACACTTGTACAGCTTCGGAAACTTGTCATTTCGTCACCAATCCTCACATCAATTTTAGACATCAACATCGAAGCGAGCACTATCAAGACTCTAAAAGTTGGGAAAATTACCGATATCCAAGATGAAATTATCCATCTGTTTGCTCGTTTGTTTATCTACATTGACACTAGCTGTACCGCATTTTATGCATGGTAGACCCGCTAGTGGTTTGGTTCCTCCACCACCGTTGGAGTTGCCCATCGAAGCCTTACCGAAAGCACAATATTTCAAGATGCAAAAGCTCGATCATTTCGATCATACCAATACTGCGGTTTGGTCGCAACGCTATTTCGTCAACGATACTTTTCATAAAAAAGGCGGTCCAATCTTTCTTATGCTAGGAGGAGAAGGGCCTGCATCACCAGTGTGGAATGTAGCTGGTGCCTGGCAAATCTATGCTAAAAAATTAAATGCCATCACCATCCAAATTGAGCATCGATATTATGGCCAAAGTCATCCTGTCAGGTGAAGGGCACGTGATCTAGTGCTTACAAGATAGTAGACTGTCGATCTTTTTTCCATTTTATTATATTTACCGATCTGAACAAATACTTAGTCAAGAAATCAATTTGTCCTTTAGGATTCATGTACTTTACACTGATACTGTATTGATGATGCCTATGGAATAGCGTGTATTGATTAATTACATTGAAAAACCTTCCACGGTCTCCATGTTTCAGTGATTTCTCCTCCTTCAGATACTATAGCCTTGAGACACACGATATGATGGAAATACTTATACTACAAACTGTCGTTGTCAGAGTTCACCCAGTTATTCCATAGCGCAAGATTACATGCAGACTGTAAATATTGTCATTTATTACCAAGATACACTTTCTAGTTGATCACGATCGATACATTCAGCAATACCAGTCTACAATGGTGAAATGAAACGATGCAACTGTGGTGTGTTAGAAAAATGAGTCTTGTTGTTTATATAAGATAAATCAATTAATTTGAAAGCCCCGCAGTAGTCATCCAAGACTAGCGTTTTACCCTACAGCAAATAAATACAGTAGAATTTTTTCCCATCTGTCTTAGTTATCAATACTCTGAGTGTAGGATAAAAATTGTAGTAGTAACTCTCACGATGCAGGATATAAAGTATGCGATATACTGTACACAGTGAATGACTTGACGATCAGTTTTTTCAATCGGTCAAGAAGTACTCATCAAATAAATACAGTCATATGAAAAAGAAATGGAGTAGTTCCTGATACAGTCTTAGCAAAACGGCCATAGCTTGATGACTCAGCTAGGCTGCCAGCGCGTATTATAGTCTTATGATATTAATAGATCATCAAGCAATATTCGTAAATAATTATATTATCATTCATAATAACCGTATCAGCGTATAAATAATATGCAGCACAGTAGTACTGTATAGGCCTAACTTTGAGATAGGTCACCTTAATTGTTATGATTGATGTCGCTAATTTTGATTCTTTCCAATCTATCTATCCTTACCGATAAAATGCAGTGATGCTTCCACTCCTAACTTAAAGTACCTAAGCAGTGAGCAAGCTTTGGCTGATGCTGCTTATTTCCGAGAATATTTCATGACAAGTAAAAATATGTCAGCTGATACGAAATGGATTGTTTTTGGAGGTTCATACTCTGGAGCTTTGAGCGCTTGGTTACGAACAAAGTATCCACACTTATTTCATGCTTCAGTTGCAACTAGTGCTCCTATTTTGGCCAAGGTAGATTTCGAGCAGTACTTGCAAGTCGTTACTAAATCTCTTCAAACTGCTGGTATGGCCTGTACTAAAAACATCCACAATGCTACAACAATAATACAAGGGATGATAAAAACTTCCGCCGGAAGAAAAAAGTTATCTCAAATGTTCAAGTATGTTCACTCTTGCTACTACTGAATCATGTACTATGCAAAAGCGATAATATACTACAAAGTACTTTCAATTGCCAAATATATATACGAGTATATAGAGGATATACGCGAACATACAATTATTGATCACAATTTCTATAGCCTTTAAAGTCTAAACTTTCTTACTATCATTTATTATGTTATTGATGCTACAGAACGTGCAAGCCTTTGAGTAAAGACCCGAATGACATTTCTACCTTTATGCAAAGCCTAGCAGGAAATTTTGAAGGAATTGTTCAGTATAATAAAGATAATACCGGATTTGAGGTATATTGAGACTGATAACAATTATCTGTATCACACTTTGCGTCATTATCTCCATAGTCGCTTTATATCAGTATTATTTACATCTTATGTCATTGCAGTCTTACTGTTCTTGTATACAAATCCTTATTTATATGCATACTAACGGCTTTATAATCCTCAGTATAAGATAGGTTATATGCTGTGCTAACTGACCCTACTCATTTTATTCATTCAGCGCCATACTCCTGCAACAACATTGACAGATTTATGCAAAATTATGGAAAAGAACAAGCCTCTCGATGGATACGTAAAAGTAAATTCCTTGATACTTAAACAGAATGGTCAAAAGTGTAACGATGTCGTATACAAAGATATGATAAAACAAATGCAACAGAGCAAATTTCAACCAGGAATTGCAGGTCTTTTTCGCAAATTTTGATCTATTCTGTACTTTGTTAATGACAGCAATGACATGAAATTTAAGATTTAGATTCTGAAATGGTATGATTCTGTTTTATCATTTAAGGTCGATTATGGTTCTATCAGACTTGTACCGAATTTGGATATTACCAAACGTCAGACTCTAAGAAGCAGTCCTTTGGAAACATGTTTCCCATAAAGTACGTATTGAAAATCTATTGAAATAGTAATTAATTACTGCCGTATTCCCATCGTATTTTTCATTAAGCGATCATGTTTTTGATTACTCTATAGATACTGGGTTCAGCAATGTGCTGACGTTTTCGGAAAAAAGTTTTCACCTTCGTATATAAACGGCGAAATAACAATGACTAACAATTATTATGGAGCGTTGGCAATAAAAGGTACTCGCATCGTCTTCCCAAATGGTTCAATAGATCCGTGGCATGCACTCGGCCTTCTTAAATCTACTGATGCAACCAGACCAACAATTTTTATTAAGGGTATATTTTTTATGAAATGATTTATTGCGTGGTAATTTAAACGTAATGTACGTAAATATCTCACATGGTATAATCGATTTGTTATAATTTAGGTACTGCTCATTGTGCTAACATGTACCCACCTACATCGAAAGATCCCGCAGGGCTTAGACAAGCTCGCACAAAAATCCTCGGTTATCTTACCAAGTGGTTGAAGGAAAAGTCCTAAAGCTCAAAAATTTTAGTTGAGATGTATTGTTCTCAAATTTTAAGTAACTCTTAATACAGATCATTTGTTCTTCGAATTAGCCGAAAAAGTAACTGATATTCATGTTGTAAAAATGATTCTACGATAATATAGCAACGGTAGCATAAAGGCATGAACATTGAGATATCTTCCTTTCCGTTATTCTAGCTGCACTAACTGTAGTTTCATGATTGTGCAGTACACGAAAAGCGATATAGTATATTTTTCTATTAAAATCAATTGTATTGGACTACTAGATATAGCAACAAATAGCAAATTACTTCTTGGAAATAAATTTCTCGAACTATTAGCTCGCATTGCCTAGTAATAGTTTTTTGAGTTACACTTTTTATTCTCTAAATAAGATTTAAAGTCTTCTATGATTTATTGCTATAAAATTAGGTCAACTGCTTCATTATGACAACTTAACTTGTACCGATTTAATAACTGAAAGTAAAAACGTCTATTATACGACTTTCTAAGGTGTTCTTAAACAGGGGATGTGAAAAGGCTGCAGCTACAATTAATTCTCTGCAAGATTTAGTCAAAGTAAACTCTATCTTTAGCTACTTTTTGTACTAGTTTTCTTAGTCTCAGTATAACAGATGACTATGCGTCAACCTATCACTACTCAGAAATGATTAGTTCATAGCAGTAGATGTATCAATGGCAAATATGTAAAAAAAGATCGATATTAAATATTATTGCCTGACTCTACTAGCCACGCTAAGCAGTGTGTAAATTAGGCCTCACTTAATATATAATAAGATGCACTCTAATATTGCCACACGAGCATATTTCTTCTAGTTATTTCTATAAAAACCTATTAACAAGCTATTGTTCATTCCCTTTTTACTAGTGAACTATAAAAATTAGCTTTAGATGCGATAAAGATACTACTTCGTTAAGATTCGATATTGAAATAATACGATCACTTCATTGATTATTGTTAGTGCCTTGCTTTATTTCACACAAAGTTGATGCGATTCTGTCATACAACTTTAAATATCAAGAGTCCTTTGAGTAACAAGCTATTAATACAATCTTAAACATTAGATGAAATAAAGAACGTTTATGATAACATCAACACTTTTATAACATTTTTCTATTGATAAAATTGAATTAAGGAATCTGAACGAGAATTAGACATGCAGCAAACAACATTAATGAAAGCACAATTAACACTTAAAGAGTAACCAACATTAAGGTTTCATATATTCGTCTATTAGAGTTGAATAGGATACAATTGTTACTAAAATCATCTCGTCGACTTAAGTATATCATCTCTCTAACAATATGCCCAAACAAACAAAAAAGAATAATAACCTTGCTAATTGTTAATCATTTGTTAAATAGCGTCAGCAAAGTATCACAATCTCAAGTATCATATAAGGATCAATTAATCACATATCTTTATGATAATACTAGCGTAGCAATTATAACATATAGTCATATCTCTTAAATAGTAATTGCTACTATCCGTACTGTATATGATGAAAAACATATACTGAATACATAATCACATATTAGCTTGATTTATTGCATCAGAGTCTTCAAATTAGTCCTAGATCATAGCTTCAGTCCTCTAATCTTTTCACTATTCAATATACAGTCTGGTTACAATAATCGAAATGCGAAATTTTGCTGAAGGTCAGATTTCATTATCATTTCATGCTGCATGTCAGGTATGCTGATAGAGCCACATACCAAATCTCTTGCCATTTGGTGGCATTTTATCATCGCGTGCTATATGTACTATACTGATTACGGAATATGCCGATAAAAAGCGATATACCAAACAGTTTCTAGTCATTAGCAAGTTTGTTATTATTTCCTGCTGTATGAACTATCTTGATTTATAGCGGATGCTGATAGAAGCCATATACCAAATCAATTTCCAATAATTTATAGTTTCTATTATCATTTCGTAATAAAATAGATGCTTTAAATTATAGAATAAGCCGGTAAAAGCGATATACCAAAATCAATTTCCAGTTATTCATTCTTTGTTTTCATACTACGCGTAGAATTTTTGATTTGCGGAAAAATTTCTTATAGAAGCTATCCAAATCAATCTCAGTCATTAAATAGATTTCGCTGGCACTTTATACTATCTTTACGGCATCGATTAATGGAAGCAACTGATAGAAGTCATATACCGGTACCGAAATCAAATTTTCAGTCATTTGCAATTTTATGCTACATATTTATTGTACCAGGTTCAAATCTAGCAATATTTCGCGTCCAATATGACCGTTATCGACATCCAGAAGTAGCTTCTTGAACTAAAATCGACAGAAATTAAAAATTTATTAATAATAGATAATGCAAATGGTGCGAGCAAAATTTAAGATAGCGATTTCGTTAGGTACTAATAGAAGTGTTCTTTGTCTATTAAAATGGTATACTCATATTAATTCTAGCTTAATATACTAGGATATTAGCCTTCTTGATCGATTGCTTATTTCTTTTACAACTGTTAAAATTTTTCAGTGACTATTCAGTACTATTGTGGCTGATAATAGTACCGTGTTATATCGATTATACATTTTGATATTTTAATTAATGAGATAAAATACTAATTGATTTAAAATCCTTTTCCTTAGGGATAAATGCAACTATTCAGTTTTATTAATATTGTCACTAATAAAGGCACAAACATAGATCATACTGGCATCTGATTTAGTAAACGTGACAAAAGATAAGAGATTTAGATATTCTCTAGCAACAGTTACTGCCGTATGAATTCTTTTATTTTCTATTAAATGAACGTTGATTTCCAATAAGCGTAAAAATAGTGTCACTACTGAAGACTGATACATTATTAATTATTTAATTCGTAGCAGATAAAACTCGATAGAACTCTGTTTGGATAGGTCGATGCAGTATATGTAAAGATATTCACTTATCAATTTAATAAAGCAAACAGTAATGAAAACATAGATTAAAAATTAATTACAAACATACAGTATCTTCTGAAAAATCTAGCAAGTGAATATTTGTAAATAATAGTTTGATTAAATGGCAATTACCGAGTAGTATTCCTTTAATAGAGCTAAATTTTCATTTTCTCGGCTTAAAACAGCGTTGGCTAAATTCTGATAACGCAACTTCTTACGTACTCGACAATCTTTAGCCGATTGTCGGCATTTTTGTAATTTGGCCGCTTGGTCCATCAAGAGCGGCTTTCGACCTCGTTTATTTGGCATTTCAATTTTGTTATTACAATCATACTTGCAAGTAAATTTAGTATTTTTCGTTCTTCGCCCAATAGAGCTGTGGATATTACCAATTGATGAAATCTTATTAGCAATATCGAGGTTTAATTTTTTACCGTTGGATTTCGATTTGACCATACTTTTTATTTTCAGTAAACGTTTGCAAGCTAGCTCAGTGATGTTGGATGATATCCTAGACAGATAAGTTAGAAAATGTGGCTAGACTCAATATTACCGGGTATAATATAGTTATTGAAAATTTATTACATTGTTATAAAATAGTGAGACGATATTTGAAAACAATAGTATTCTAGATTGTTGAATATCTATGAATTATCTTAACTACTTTTTTAAGTGATTACAACGGGATATTGTGCAAAATGACAACTTCAATATAAAATTGATTTTTGACCTTTGATGTTTACAGTTTCCGCTTTTATCGTAAGGGGAAAGCTCAATATTCAGGTAACTTGATTCTCTCTTGAATTGGTAAACAAATTAATAACAAGTTTATAGCCTAGCTCAATTTATTGACAGCTATAAAATTAAATGTCTGATATTGAGGTATTGACTTTAATTAGACGGCCGCTATTGATTAATTGAAGATAAAGTATTCTATTTACTTTATGAATTGATAAAAGTTATCCGTAGACCAAGATATAAATTCCGTAAAGAACTTACCAAGTTTCTGCTAAAGCATATTATCACAGAATTCGCCAATACCAATATAGGATTTAGTATAACAAAATAAAGCTTCCATTATTATACAAAGTTGTTACCCAATTTAGTATCAGTAGCTGCGTGCACCTGCTTCCGGTATTGGCTCCAGGATGGCGGTTGCCATGGACGTCACCTTGAAAAATTCTTGACATCTAGATATATTCGCCATTAATTGACGTTAAATGTGCAGTACTACAGAACAGCTTAAATATTTTTTCTATGGATTACAATATATTTAAAGTACAAAAGAAAAGCTGATAAATTCACGAAGGAATTCTATTAAATAGATACAAACAAGATACAAATAGGTATTGTGAAGATCCATATTTAGCGAATAAGTCGGTGTTAGGTATTTTTCCTTGTATCAAAGACCCCGCCGGCTAGGCGCCAGCAGTATTTTTTATTCTTCTTATTTCTTTTTAGCTGTCGCTTTAGTTTTATTTCCCATTAAATGTAGAGACTTATAGTCTCTTCAACAGCCTATCATTGAATTTATTGTTATTTATGATGGGTAGCCAAATAATCGAGATAGTGTACGGCAAGAGATAGGATCTTTTACAATTTGCACAAAATGCAGTTAAGCCATTCGGCACCGTAAAAGGCAAACGGCAATGCTCTTCTGAGCATTTTACCTTGATTTAACTACTTTGTACAATATTCCAAGGGTCTACTGTTGACATTAGCAAGTGTAGGACTGTAGTATAAGTTTCCCAAGTTATCTACTTAACCCAATGGCAACAGCTACTGAATGAATTTCGATAGCATTCACGCATAATTGTATATTCTATGTCCACCATTCCCGGAATTGATGCCACAGCTATTAATCAAAATAGTTTATTCAAAAAATAAGGCATAATTGTTTGTGAAAAAGAAAAATACAGAAGTTTTGTAAATATATGGGTTATAATATAGTACATATAGAAATTAATGAAGTACAAGTAGATGTCCTACATGTTCTAAAAAGTATGGTAAATAATGTACAAGAATATATTTGTTAACAGAAGTAAAACATCGGTTATACTTTATGTTGGTATGCTACTGTTTCAGTCTGGTATTTGAAGTAAGAAATAACAATGGTTAATAAAAACAGATTTATAAATAATAACAATTTACTAATTAATCATCGGCGTCTTGGTCAACGTTTTTGATAGTTTATTGATTCATAAACAATACTTGTATTATTATCTTAACGTATATATCAGTCATAAACAGGAGAAACTAGTAACTGTATCCTTCAATCCTTGAAGACTGCATGGCTATATTTGTATCAATCTAAGAATATTGACGCCACTTCATTACACAATTTTTCACATCGCTTAATAAATAATGTAATTATCTATATAAATCTTGTCTATCCCGATCGCTTTAAATTATCTCATTAGTGTACGTAACGCATAATGAAGTTGATAGTTTAAATCAACATGAATTAATTATTTTAAAATGAAACACATTAACCTCTTCAACTAAATCAATCATAGCAATGCAATTGCTCTTGACAAGAACTTTAACATACATAAAAAATTGATTTTTATTTTGCTAAAATCAAGATACTATTCAATGATGGGATCTCATGTCATTTAGCTAGTCACATTGGCTACGGTATCTTTTCAATCACTTACCTATACAACTCTATACAGTGCACAGTAAATGAAAACATTTCATCAGAAGGGGATGATATGGTAGGATATTTACATCCGCACAATTACATGGGACAATTTTGAAGCATGGTTTGTCCACTTACTGAAATTACTGCAATAATGCATTATAACCCTATATATTGTATTTTATTTATATTGTTTCATTTTTATAGTACAAGAAATAATATTATTATTACAGCTAACTTTTGGTCATAAAATCTTCAATGGATAAAACTTTCAATAAATACAACAGGAGCTTAGAATTAAACTGAAATTAATCGATGCATTTTTCTACAACACAAATGAACTGACAATAATCAACGAAGTGTCTAGACTGGTATAATATGCAAATAGAGAGAGATAATAAACTTTCATTGCACAAATGTGTTATGATGCTCTAGCACTTGAATCAAATTGTTATTGCTTTGATATCTGGACATACAAGTTCATGATCAACTACTAAATTGCGCTATAGCAAGCAATACATCATGTGTTATGCAACTTCGCATGATTTGTCGTAACAGGATATCCTTAATATTTTCAATGAATAAAAAATTTTACTTCCTGTAAATTTGGCCTTATTGTACTTCCTCACGGAAGGAAATATGTATACCATTATTTGAGTTCGTAAATATGATAGAGTGGACTGTAGTCCGCGAAATTCTTATAAGAAAATGCTACGTTATGGCTGCGAAATCAGATAGAGTTAATGATTTATATTCAGGAATTTTTCTCTTTCCTTAAATTTCGCATCCACTTTCAAGTACAGTAGATTTAAGATGATTTTCAAGGTCATTTAACAGAAATACCGGTAGAAAATTATTTCCAGTATGAATTAGCGATAGCCAATAATTATAATCTTTCAGGCAGATTGATGATGCATTACAGTGCAGAATCATGCATAGGTAAACTTTACTGTAGTTTTGAACTACCATTACGTTAAATTTTTTTTTAAATCAGTCTTATTAATTGAATTATATTCGATAACTATGAAATTAGTATAAAAATTAACTACTAATGGCTATTATACAGTGCATTGCGTTAATAGACAGGAGGCCAAGATTTGTTATCTTTCAGAGTTTCTCTGTCGTCATGGCTTACTATTAAGACATTTTGTAAGAAATCTCCTTTAATAAGATTTAAATTATTATTAATTAACTCGTGGTAAACAACATCTGATTTTAGATACGCGACTATGTGTAAAATTTATATGGATACTATTGTAATTAATCTATTTTATTTTTTACTCGTCTTTGAACTTAATACAGGGCTTCATGGGTTATCAATAAATTTTTTTAAAATTTAAGTATAATCAAATATCAACCAGGCGTTAATTAATTAATTACATTGAAAGAATTGCAAAAGGCTTCACATGGTCGATACTGTAGTCAGCCTAGTTTAGTAGGCAATAATCGAATTTAGATATCGGTATCCTATCAACTAAGTATAGCCTCCTTTCAATGAATACCGATAAAATTAATTAAAAAGAACCAGAATTGCAAACTTAACGGAAACAAGGACAAATCCTAGTCTGATATATAAAGCTTCATTAATTTATAAAGTAAACCTAGTAACTATCTTAAATTAATTGAAATTCTCGATAATGAAAAAAACACCCTGCATCGAGCTGTGCTTCATATTTTATCGCTTTTATTTACTATACAAATCAATGATTTTTAGCAGAAAGAAGGTAAACAAATACGTAAAAATAATCATTACTACCCGCATAATTTTTGCTTAAGCTTACTAAACATTAAACACGTATAAAAATTTTCAAGGTGAATGTAAACTTTATCAAAAACTATGTGACGGCTATCGTCTGTAACTCTTCGACATAATATATCCTAGCCAGTAAAAAATTTTATCTAACAGTCCTTGGTTATCAAGGCTGTATTCTATGAGAAGAGTATGAATGTGTATATCCACATTTATTATTAGACGTAGAAAATAAAAATATTATATAACCGTTAAGCAACGATAAACATAACGGTACTGAAAATAGACGCAGTCGTGTAGTGCAGTATAGTGGAAAGTATCGTACTATGTGTATTCAACTAGCTCACTAGTCAACCATTGCAGCGGTTAGGCTAAAGGCATCCTTCGATCTATATATCTAAAAACATAATAGTTGTCTACAGAAGACTCTGGGTGTACATGCCAAGTAAACCTAAATTCTATCGTGTAGACAACATTATACTCTAGGATATCGGTACTATAAACAATTAAAGGACGGTATATGTACCCGTTATACTCAACAGTAACTAGGCTAAAAGCAGCATTTGAATTTATGCCTCTGTAGCGAATAGGTTCCATAAAATTGAGTAAATCTCTAACATGACGCAATTAGTACTACCGTACTTCATGTTACTGCTGTAATTAGTTGAAATCTCCTCCACCTCATCTAAATGAGCAGTGAATTGTCCATGAAAAGCTCTGAAAGTATGTTATCGGGTAAATTCTTTATATTCAATGGTCTTTGCTAGCCTAAATTCTATCGTTGGACAATATTGAATACCATAAAAAAATACCATACTTTATTGTACTGCTTACTATATATACGAGCGTACATTTACCTAACAACTGATCCTACCCTTCGGTTACAATTGTTAGGCTGAAAGTAGCATTTAATTTATATTTCATATCTAACAATGCAAACGATTATTAGCGGAAGGCTCTGAACGTACATTATCGTCAAAAAAAAAAATTCTACGTCCGATAGGTCTGTACTTCCTGTAGTTAGACTACTGTAAATCGCTTATATATTTTCTATAGAAGCTACTGTACGGACATAGATCACAAGTTACCAAAGATCTTTATGGACTGGTAGCTCTTGCAGTCCAAACTCTACTCTATAAGTATAGGAAGAAACTATATAAGGTATATATTCGTTGAAGCATACATTTAATATAATCGTAGATTCGTATATCATACACAAGAGTATCAAAAATTCTATATGTTATTGCTATACTATTTATTTTTTCTATAATGGTGGTGATGCTGGCGTTACCATAACAACAGCGATGAAAATATTGCTATGCGCGAGAAGCAACCTATTACTACTGCTATGGGCTCCGTAGACTTTGTAGATGTTCTTGTCTATTCTATTGCACTATAACTATTGTATGGGCGATAGGATTGCATAAACTGTGCTCTGTTCGGATGCTGGTATAGTAATTTCTGTATAATATCGATCAGAACTAATGACAAAGTACACTTAGGCTCAAGGCTATGTACGAGTATAGATTTTCATGCGCAGCAAATGCAGTAAATAGACATGAGAATAGTGGGCAGTGGATAAATATCTGTAAGGATAATAATATTATACCAATTCTTTATATTAATACAATCATTGATCTTGCGTCATTTTGGCCATTAAATCTGGTAAAATTACTGGACATATTGGAATTTCTTTTAAAACTACATACTGGAACTCCATAAGTCTGAGTGTTTTTTCGATTTCTGATCCAGACTTATTTAGATAGAGTGATATAATCTTGAAGATTCTGACTATATAAAAAATGGCCTTTGGAACTCTGTGATACTCTAACCATTTTAAGATACTTGGGTAATTGCTCGTGGTTAAAATTTGGGGTAATTTTAGCTTATACAAGGACTTTGGTGAATTACTGGTATAGCCACGAAGAAAATCATCCTTCACTGATACATTTAAAATTGCAAATTACTTTCATTCGCACTGTGATAAACAAAATTAGTTACCATCCACAAATCGGTGTAAAATATTGCTAGATTGTTAATCACTAAGAAAAGTAAAACTGCACTATTACTCATGGAAGAAATGGAAGGATATAGCATGGATGAAGATGAATTAAAGCAATTATACGCTTGGATTGATGGAATACCTTTAAGTAGGCAGAAAAAGAATATAACTAGAGACTTTAGCGATGGAGGTTAGTGATAATATTACACAATATTCTTATGATAATAACGATATAAGCGATCGTTACCTCTAATTCTTCGAATTGAGATTCTGTAAATCGATTTGCTTCTAATTTACGATACTGGATAGTATGATTACAGATATATAGTATTAAAGATAAAGTCCATCGATTATTCATTATCACAGGATCAACATTATAGTGCTTAGTAATAGCATGATATGAGTAACTAAATGAACAGAAAATTATCCAATTTAATATTAGGCAAAGAATTTATACTAGTGTTGAGATAGTAAAACCAAATAAACTTTAATTTGATATTAATTATCTTATTTAAGTATGTTTAAGTGTTGTAACTTTAAAATAGATGCTGAATATGACATAAAGAAAGATGCTTTAAATTAATACTTGCAAGTTGATGGCTTTACAACTAACCCTGGCTTATACTTGCAATCGTTATCTTCTCTTAATACAGTTTTGGTTGCTGAGGTAGTACATCACTTCTTACCTAAGTTAGTAGACCTTCATAATTTCTCTCCAGCGAACTCTGCAACACAGAAAGTAGACAACTGGAATGTACTAAATCGTAAGGATTTCATTTCCTTGATTAAACATCATCTTTATAAGCTACAGTAAAAAAATTACACTAATTACTTTTTTCTACTTATGATTTGTTATGTAGGGAAAGTTTTCACAAGGCTAAATTTTCATTTACCAGAGGACGTTTTGCAAAGTATCGTAAAATGTAAACCGGGCGTAGTTGAATTTCTGTTGAATAATCTTAGACTCAAGGTAGTGTATTTGTGAATAGGTAGTTTTTCTTTTGAAATATTGATAGATTAACAATTCTAATGATATGATGATGGAAATTATTAGATCAAGAAATTTAAGGCAAAATCAAGTGGTAAAATATATAAACAAAAATCAGATTTTTCTCAGCAAATACATCATCAACGCCGCGGTCAGTCATCACAGAATAGTAATCAGGCTTTTGCTGGACAACCTTCCACTTATCCTGATTCTCAGAGTAAGCTATTAAACTAACATACAAGGGCAAAATTTTAAAAACTTTACTTAAAAGCTACTCAGAGTTAATCGACTGTTGTGTACATTCTTTCGGATTAATAATTTATTTCTTTGAATATTGATTTATTATCATTACAGGTTACGTTGTCAATGCATACCACAATCCAGCAGCGGGGCAATTTAACGGACCATTTCATCCACCAATCCAGCATAATCATCAGGTAAAAATGATATTACTATGTCTATAACAACCGAAAGGAAATAATTTAGTACGAAATAGTAATTAAATTGAGCTTACATCTTTGTTATCTATCTCAAATCACAGCAGACACACTATTTGTATGATATTCCAACTGATGAACGTGGAATCATGCACGAAGCTAACACTAAAAGTAGAAAACCAAGTAACGGCTACGGGCAAAATATAAATCATAGACCGGTAAAAGGCAGTAAATCTCAACCTGTGAGGTAGGTAACGATTTCTAACGAACAGTTAGCTATCAGTTTATCTAAAAAGATCATAATTAGATCATTACGTATACACTGCAGCTCTCGCTAATTTTAGAGTTATATCAACATCATATCTACAGTAGTGGATGCAGATTACATGCAAATAGAATACAGAAGCGAAGGCAGTAAAAGAATTATAAATAAGATGATGCCATATATGCATACAGTGTTATCAGGATTAGCGTTATATAGCCTTTAGGGTAGCAACAGCAGCACTAGTAAGACTTTTATTTCGATAAGAAAGAAAAATAGTAATAAAGCTAAAATACGAATTGCAATAGAAACATTCTTCTCCACTAATATGCAGACAATTGAGTCAATTTTGACCGTTACGCTTATAACTTATTTGATGATAGTCAGTTTTAGTTATCCAATACCGTAGAGATATAAAAGTGAGCTTACTCATTCATTTATTCATTAATAATTTTCTCTATAACTCAGTCAAGAAGCAGTGATAGCCATGGAAGAAAAGACGCAAGCTCTACTTGCTTCACAAGAGACCATACAAGTAAGTAAAAGAATGCTTTAGAGATAACAAGCAAAAATACATTTGAAATCTAAGAAGTCCAATAACTTTTCTAACAAGCATTCACGATTGACGATAACAGTAAAACAGTAAATATAGTATAAATAGCAATAGCTTCTTTAAGCTATGATTCCACTCGTGTTTATATGTAATTTTTTAAATCATCTAGATTTTACAAGCTAAAATACGGAGAATTGAACACTTGCTTCATTTAAAGGATTTAAGAATTGAAGAATTACAGTCAAGACTTATATCTTATGAATCCAAAGGCGATCGTAGATAGCACCTTTTTAAGACACTCAGAAGAGTATGCATAGAACAAGTCAATGACCTGTTTGAACTAACTTCAAATTGAATGTCTTGATCTATATATATAATATATATTTACGAATCATCTTAGCTATAAAATTGTAAAGCAATCCCTGATGTAACAATGATAAAGTGCTCCATAAAATTCATAGCTATTTTAATAAAATTATAATTGGATTTGATAATATTATCACTGTTACTTTAATGTACAAATGCTGTAATGTTTGTAAATGATAAGGATCTCCGGTTTCTTCTTTGTAAGAAAGTGGGGTTATTCCTGGATGATAATTAATCGGCAGCTGCCTATAAACACGCATGTATCAAAAAGCATGATGCTTTATTAATGCTCTACACTAAATGAAATGTTAAGAGCATCTTGATGTTAAACCGTTTCTATCACTGCTTAGATACTTGATAAGAGTTAATAAATTGAATGATTGGAAAAAGAAAACAACTATCTGCCTACTGTCGACATTAGCGTTAATGCTATTTTATGTATAGTTCCCTAATTAAATGGGTATTTTTATCTCTATTGCTATACTGTTACGATCTGTTCGCATCGAATCGTCCTCTAAATATTTTTACCATCTTGGATGCTAGATGGAGAACACTGATCATTGCAATACTGTATGATTCTAAACTGCATTATCGTAATTAACTGATAAATCGTCACACAAAAATACGGCATACGTGTAAATTAGCTTCATAAAGAATATCATACTGCTTGAATCAATGTTTATGCTACACATATAGAATAGAATGTGATATTCAATAAAGGTTCTTTATTTCGGATTTACCATGTCCAATTTTTCTACAACGGAAATATTTATGCTGCCATTACAGAATCTAGGCCTTTTAAGGTAAATATTTCAGTCGTATCAAATGTTAAGTTGCAAATACAGCCCGCATGTTACTGTTATCATATATCAAATTTTCGGCAAGTTTAGCATGGTTATTCATTAAATTGATGCAAAACAGTACATACTCGTACACATAGTATACGAGATACCAATGTACAAAAATAGGCTCAGTATTTAGAATACACGAGTATAAAATTAGTTCTCGTTTTCATTGGTATTAAGCTTATTAAGTATGTACTGTCAACAATTAAATTAAATTAAATTAGCGCAACAACAATTTTTTTTCTGCTTGTTTATACGCGTATATTACATACAGTATGTATATATACATATATATATTGCTATTACATTGCATATCGTGTTTTATAGGTAACGCTTGCTACAGATTATCAATGGGAGCAGCTTTTAGGCGAAAAGAGAATATACAGTCAAAAAGCATTACACCAGGTTACTGTATAAAATCGTTTTGAACGCCTAAGTATAATAAGCGCGTACGTACAGTGCATTTTCTAGCATCCACTAACAAGCATGTTTAAAACATGAAGTTGTTACTATTAAGCATATTTCTATCTTTCTATATACATGATACTATTAGGTGATACATGTCATTATCTAAAGATTGGTGTTAGATTCATAACATAATCAATTCAACAATTTTACAATGGATGACCAGTTTACAAATTGGCATGATGACTTTGCTTAAGCATTATTCTACATAGTATGGCGAGTAGAGAGAATCAACACTGCAAAGAGTTTTTAAACTTATTAACTTACTATCACTTAGTAACACGTCGATATTGATGATGTCATTCACACATCTGGAGAATAATTCTTAGAATTCATTTATGACTTCTACACGTGCTATGATGGTGAATAACAATATTATAATTAATTAATTCTGAAATGGAGGAAGAAATCTGCTTCATCAATTCTCAGGATTAGACTACAGTATCTCTCCTACAGTACGAGACAGTAGCACACAGTGTAAAGTACTATACGGTACAGTACCGTACAATGCTATAGAAATTCACTCTTCTAGTAATCCTCCAACCAGGCCAGGGTCCATCCGTTTTGCGCAGGCGTCAAAGACCCCATCAAAGTAAACGGTCGAGTAATAATTCATGTTGACAAAATTGGCGAAAAGCCGCTTGCAAATGGAGATTGGACTATCCTTGAGTGCATTGCTTGCCTTTACCCTGTATAGGATGCCAAATAAAGCATCAAATACAGTTAAGCGATGATGGAAATGGATATAAGTGATTGTGATTTGATGCAATCTTGCAAGCAATGTCTGTTGTTGATTGCTATGCAAATATGACAATTCTAGTATAGGACGTTTTTTTCCCCATTCGGAGATGAAACAAAAGTCGATATGCAATCATGTCAAATTCTTTTTGACTTCTCTTTCTATATACATAAACGACCCATCACAGCATTCGATGCCAAGTAAAATTATAGTAATATTCTATAGCACAAGTTAGCAACAGCTAATCATCTTTACTCTACGTGTATCCCATGGGTGGACCCAATTTTTGGAAATAGAAATCAACGTTATCTGTGCATATTATATAGCTCTTGTAGGTTAATCAAGAAAAATTGTACTGACGGTTAGGTCCATGCAATCTATCTTATCTACCTTCCAATACGGGTAGGATGAGATAGAAAGGCTTATTTTCTTGCTACAGATGGACTAACCTGTTTAAGTAAAGGATCGATTTAAAGCGATTTGATATTATCAGGTTGAAAAAAGTTCCTCTTGAGTATTTCGTATGTGGCATTGATAATGCCCCAAGAGATTAATGATCTCATAAAATTAGCTTGAACGCCGTAATACAATTTTTGAACACTACGATTTCTGTCGTTAAAGACCTTGATAAAGGTTTTATTGAAACTTGTAAACTCTCCGCCAGCTTTCCGTTGCATGACACTCTTAACGACGTTGAGAGGATAATACATGGTGCTGATAACTGCACCAAGAACGGCACCACTAACGAAATCACTGGCGATATTGCCGGCGCTCGATTGATAATTAGGCAAAATATTTCGAACAGGTTCTCGCAATGCAAAATAGACAGCATTACTAGGTCCATTCCGTATTAAGATCGGAGTTAAACCGCGATAATATTCCTTTAAACCAAAACGCTTTAAATTGTGAAAAGCTTGTACCGTGTTCGTATATTTCCTTTGTTGATGTCGGTCTTGGAGCAAGACTTGAACTCTTTCGAACGGCGTCAAGATTGCTTCAGTGGTTCCAGCTAAGGTAGCGGCAAGTAATTTTACCGGTAGTGCAGGAAGTGTTGATCCATGATTCCAACGATGGATCTGTTTATTATAAAAGTCATACAGGCCAAAAGTCAAGGAAAGTGTAGTACACTTTAACAACAATGGTGGGCCTAGACCTCGATACAAATTTCGAACACCTTCTAATTGTAATTGCTTGACTGCACTGGATAAATTGATACCATGAATCTGTTGGCGAAAGATAGCTTTATTAACAGGAAAAGTCAAGACAATATTGGCGAAAGCAGCACCAGCACCGCAAACAAATTCCGGCGAACTTTTACTATTAGGAGATACATTACTACGAATTTGTGTACTACTATAACCTTCGGTGACATTAAAGTGAACACTTGTCGCATTATTCTTGATCGACGAGAAATGATTTCTGGGCAAATAGATGAGCATGGCTAACGCCGGTGTTTCATGGCTGACTAGCATAAAAGTGACATCCATCTTTTACCATTCATTAGTGTTTTCAACCAGTGAGAATAGCTTGTACAAGCGTTAATATCAAGTCTTTTTCAACACGATAGCTCACTAATCGTGTCCAATTGGACAGTAAAGCAATGGATCAATGTGAGAATTAGGGTGGCTAGTGGCAAATTGCATGTAGAAAAACAACAAATTACCTTGGCAGCGGGCAACCAACAGCAAAATCGAACAACTGAGTCTACTAACTCAATCCTGACTATTTATATCAGTCTAATGGGTGTTCTTCCGTCGGGGCGTAGTTTACAGTATCAATAAATTGGGGATAAAAGGGTATGGAACATGGCTTAGCCTTATAGGCTTTCAACTGTCGTCCACTGGGAAATCTTGTTGCCACTCACCACCCACAAAGACTACCAAAACACCACGCCGAGCACCATCAACTACTATACTTAGATTCGGTATTGATCTAGTGTATATTAGGCAAAATAACTATGACGTCACTTAGCTAGCGAAAAAGGATTGAGCGATCCAACCGCCTTGTATTTTTCTTCCTCTATTGGTAGTCTATGAGGTAGCTCATGTCCAAAATGATTTCTTCTGCTGACCTTTTCAAGGATAGTAGAAATTAGGATTGTATTTCCGAGATAAATTGTCGGAAAAGGATATTGTATCGAGCTCAAAATAATCGTATCAAAATGATGGATGGTAGACGACTATTTATTTGGAAGGGAAGATCAAGCATAGTAGAAATCAGGATTGCACTCAACCAGCTGTATTTAGCCTGTATTTTATAGACAAACCGTCGGGAAAGGGATGTAAAACAACCGAGTGGAATGACGTATGGAGCTACACACATCTTTTTTACACATTACTGGCAAGGGAAAATCAAGGATAGTACAAAGAGGGCTTGTAGTGGACGAGCTGTATTTCATTAACTAACAGTCGCAAAGAGATACTCTGTACAGGTAGTAATAGCAATGTAAAAATGACTGACTGAATCAAGTGGAGCGTGGAGGTGGATGTATTTTTATTTTATCCATTGCTTCCAGCGCAAAATTAATGGCAGTGGAAATTTAAATTCCTGTTTAATAGCTGTACTTCATCAGTAAACAGCCAAAAATGCATACTCAACAGATCTAAAATACCAATAGAAAAATGGTTGACTCCAATTGAACGCGTAGTTATAGCCTCCTGCAAGATGTACAAGTTCTTTTTTTTATACACTACTGTACATCACTTTGAAGGATTTAACGTTGAATTGGATAGCCATTCCTTTCAGTAAGATTTACAGTTCATGAATCCGATTGAAGCAACTATCGCGTATGCATGCTATACATTGTAACTACATTGGAGCTTGAGAGTGATGTAGAGAGTTTGCAAGCTCATCTATTCGTACAAGGTATTCTATACCTGTGTATTCTACTGTAGATAGCAGCAACATGCAGTAGTGCAATTACAAACTGCTAGAGAAAAGATATTTCAATTTTTGAACCTCTTTTTCCTCCTAATAGATTCTACCATGGAATGCAGAATAGCTCATCAAAAGCGTACGTGAAACTCCATTTTCAACATGATTGCAATGGACTAAATATGTTTATATTCGTGATGATGGCATGGTCACCGGACACTGCCACTACCGTATTTACTTGGATATTGATTTTTTATTGATTGTAAATCACCATCTCACCGGGCACGCATTAATAAGTTGACAAATAAAATTTTGCTATTATGTCCATGCAACTTTACACCTTTGATCTGCTGACCTTGATAGAATAATAATCAATATCCATCAACAATCATAGAAAAATAGAAAAATAACACGAAAGAAATGACTTGATGAAACCGCTTTACTACTGTAGACTGGACTTGATGCTTTTTGTTTATCAATCTTGCTTAAGTAAACAATTTGATAAGCAGCACAAGAACATGCGGCAAAGGCGTGCTCAAAGCCAATCAGTGCTCTCTATTTCCACTCTCTCTCTATGACGTAATTCCATCCAGCACAGATAAGAAAGTTAATCTAAAGTTAAATTAGTGAAGAGTTACCGCCCATTTTCTTGTCTTGGCTGGACATCACAAGATGCAAACTGTAAAAGGCGATTGCAAACACCGGCATGATCTAATGTCGATAAGAGATAACAATCAAAACTTGATTGGGATCTCTAGAGAATAGAGCTCTCACAGCAATCTTGCTACCTTTATTAACAAGCAAATATCAACGCCGCCGTATTGAGAGTTCACGTATAAATTTTTATTTCACCTTCTTGATGATTGCCATCGATGTTTACTTGCTCAATCAAGGATCTAAACACCGGCTATAGTACAGAAAGAACAACAATCAAAACTTGATTGCGACTCCTTCGGACTAGAGCTCTCACAGCAATCTTACTACCTTTATTAACAAGCAAATATCAACGCCGCCGTATTGAGAATTCTCGTATAAATTTCTATTTCACCTTCTTGATGATTGCCATCGATGTTTACTTGCTCAATCAAGGATCTAAACACCGGCTATGGTACAGAAAGAACAACAATCAAAACTTGATTGCGACTCCTTCGGACTAGAGCTATCACAGCAATCTTGCTAACAAGCAAAAATCAACGCCGTATCGAAAATATTTTATTTCACTTTTTTGATGATTGCTTTTAATGCTTGCCATGGGTGTTCACTTGTTCTATTAAAGATCGAAACACTGGCATGATCTAATATAGAAAAAAGGCAATAATCAAAACTTGATTACGACTACTAGGGACTGGAGCTCTCATAGCATTCTTGCTAACTAGTAAAAATTAACGCCATATCCAGAATATTTTATTTCACTTTCTTGATTAGTGCCATGGGTTTTCACTTGTTTAATCAAGGTTGCTACTGTAAATCATGCAATGCGTGAAACAATTGGAGAAACCATCTGCTACTAACCAATATCGGTAGTACTAACCTTTTAGTGACCCATTTCCTTTCAATTTAGTATCCAAACGAAGTAAATAATTTGTTAAAAGCGATGAATTTAAGTGAAATTGAACTTAAGTAATGTAATAATATTTTAGTTATCGTGATTACTGCATATATGGTAAACGAGTTTTGATATCCTCTTATAGAGAAAACAGCAAGGTGATGCTGGTACTATCTTGTTTATCTCTGCTTTCTTCTAGCTGTCACCTTATTGATGTTGTTTCTATCAATTAACCTGCAATAGCCGAAAGCCATTGAGCGTCTATAGAGAAAACAGCATCGTGCACGCCAGCAGACAGTAATTGATATTTATTGTACAGTATAAAGGCATAAAGTCTACGCCAAGATTAGAATGATGGTATCGTTAGCAATAACACTTTTGCGTTTGCAGGAATTCATCAAAGCAATAATGATCGAGTCATAGCTCGAGGAAAGCAGGGATACAAGTGATTATACCGGCACGTACTATGCTATTTTCTATATGCAAAAAGGGTATCAAAGCTTGCTTGCAATGGAGCACAATTGCATCTCTAGAGGCGAGAGTACAATCGATAAGCAATAATCAGGTTTAGGCTGCTACAAGATATGAATGAATATGCCATACTTTAGCTAGATCAATTGATATTCAGTGCAAATAAACATCCTTGAGAATACTTATGAATATTATATGAGAGTATAATACTAGATGAAGCAATAACGCCAGCACGATTGACACAGTATGTAGTGATCCTGTTTTAATAAAAATACGTAAAACCTCTATTTTAAAACGCCTGGATTATATACCGCTACTAATAGTGAAAAGTGCGAATTTTGCTTGCCTACACCGAATGCAATGGCGATATTCATAGAATAAAGAGAGTCATGTCGAAATATGATTACGATAAATTCCATGCATCGAGTATATGCAACTACTTTTTAAATAAATTGATCAGCTTGTGAAGCAGTAAATCTACTAGTTCATGAATACACCTATTTTCGCTAGGCAAAAGTACATTCATCTTCATATCGGATTTGAGCGAATATTCGAGTTCTACATCTTCGTTCAAGCCTAAGGAAAACTAACGATACCACTCCTTAAGCAAGAAGAGTTCTTAGTTTACCATTATACTTGGTTTTACCGTTCATAAAAATCTGGGATATGACTCATGCATCTATACAATCATTCCTGTTCTACAAGCAGAGCATCGTAATTGACAAGTAAGCAATTTATGATAAAACCATAGCTTCAACACACTATGACAATATTGAATTTAAAAAGGATAGTACGTCATAGTGATGGATTATTTACTGGAAGATATTGATAGAGCTGGAGAAAATCAATCTATGGATAGAATACTCGACCTAATTCGAAATACCTCCTACAGTACAATATTGTAGGTAGCAGTAGTATTGCAACATTATAAACCGGCATAGAAATATCGATTTGAACAATATGCAAGTATTAAATTAGCGAAATATATAAATTTTACACAGACGAGCTACGTTAACCGCATGTAGATTAGCATCTGCAGGTCACGAAGGATTGTAGCCAAATTAGCTAAATAAAATGACCCCTGTACTAATGTCAAAAACATATGTTCAAAGTCTATACGTGTATTTGCGTTTTATCTATTAATTATCTTCTGACTAGATACCGGCATTTTAAATCACTACCGGTAGTTAACCTGTCCATATCCGCCTTTACAATGTATACTAGTCCACAATTTAATTTAAGTACGCTAAAATTATGGATGATTTATGAAGAGTAATCTATTTCACATTAGTTCTTGCTAAAACACAAGGCTCAAGTGTAAGGGTTATATAAGACATACTTGCATGCTATCGAACAAGGACTAAATCTATTATCGATATTCAATCTATGGTTGAAAGAAAGATCATGAAAAATGAACTCATTTTTGTATTTAACAAATAATCTACGTCTCTATTATGATGATGATTATTATTTTTATAATCCATGCACTGTAACGCAGGTAAAATGAAAATTCTATCAAGCAAACTTACCATTCAACTTTAGTACTTTATTTTTAAGTTTAAGTGAAAGTAAATCATGCTGTCAACATTACAGTAAGATTTTGATATGATAAAAATTGCCAAGATTCTTTTAGTAAACATTGATACTAACAGTGAATTACAGCGACAGAAGCGATTTAATTAGGGGGAAGAAAATCAATCGCTTTGTCAGAATTCCTCCGTAGCGATAATATATATGTTAACAAGTTTATTTCTATGCCACAGTAGAGAATTTTAAAGTGTCTTTGTCAAGAAGTACAAGTAGACCTTAATTCAATTGAATTATTCTTAGAGTCTACGTAGTGATTAGTTAATCTAATCTTAACTTGGTTTATATCTTATGAATATAGCTGTTGATTGTAGCTGTAACGAGATCAAGAATCTGAGATTTTGAGCTTTCCTTTCCTTTAGTCTACTTTATTTGGAAGCCCATGCCAAGCGCGATATCATACACACGTTAACGAGACATGAGAACTGTGACAACAAATCAGCTCTAGTACCAACATAACTTTAATACCATATCCTAATGCACGTGAACATTTGTAGCATGTGATCTTAATCTAGTACAGTAGATAAGGTTTAGATAAGCCGTAAATAGTACGATATCTAGGATTCCCCACGTTCTATGGCGCGTACACAACAAGGTAACAAGCAGTAGTTTACGGGACAAGCGATGACTCTAAAGTTAAAATGCTAATTTTCAATCTAATTTACAAGATAATATACTAGGTCAACGAGGGTAATCATAATTTAGCAAGCATTAATTTAGTGTACAGCCGTATAAGATGAAACTGTGCCAATGACAACAGCTCTCTGTCCTAAGCTGCCTTCAGTGGTTGGCATATCATGGTAAGCGCCACCATCCTTAATATCGCCAACAGTAGTTGAATCAACTTCTTTCTCCCATATTACTACGTCGTCTAACATAGATAAAAAGACACATGCTATTATTATGATTTATACATCAACTATTATTAAGTATTGGTGCTATTGATATCGAGACTATCGCGAATCGATCGTGAAGTAAATGCAGTAGTGTAATGAAAGTTAATTTTTAGAATTCTCCTTCTAATTTTAGTAACTATTGTAAGTTTAAAAGCAACTTAATTTGGTACTACGGTAGATTCTACCTAGTATTTTAGTATATCGTAAACCCCGACCATTTTATTCGGTTTAAGAATTTAATGACATACGATAACTTGATTTTGTTTAAGAGTTGTACAATGTGAGATTGTAAACTTAGCTACGGTATATATTTAGATAGCACACAGCAATCCTGATTAAAAACTAGCCGGTAATTTTGATTAGAACTTACATTAGAAACGATATTACTTTATGATAAAATACAGTAGAAACCCGAACGTTCTAAATAGGGTTTTAATTTAAGAGTAATGATCTTTTATGATGTTTTATAGTTACATTTTGTATACTGCAAAAAATACTTTTTGTACAGTAGTTAAATTACGATTAACTATTATTAATTTAGTCATTTGGGAATCTAAGGTATAATTTGCTTTGTCATATGTGTTTAATTGCTAGTTTAATTTGAATTACTTTAGAATGGTAAGACAGTAGTCTGATACTACCTACTGCTCTGCGTAGTAAATAAAAGGTGACATAGTTCAGTAGTTTAGTAGTTCAAGATAGAGAAGGTGAAGTTAAGGACTTTCTGAATTCGTAAGTAAACCGTAATTTACGCTGGTAGTTTGATTGATGAAGGCAGTAATTCTGTCCTTTTGTAATTATCAAGTACAGTTTAATATGATTTTTAGACATTTATTATAATAAACTGGTATTTTCCCCAAATTTCGTTGTATTGGAATTAAAAAGTTGGTAGTTTTACTCTAAATTTTCGTCTACTATTACTGTAGCATGTATGCCTACGGTTCTTTTCCTTATCTATCTACCTACTATTATTTTTAGATAACGAATACTAGTATTAGATTATTTTGATTAATATCATGTTATTTTTCTATAAATAGGTATAATTAGTAAACAATGGAGCAGTATTTTGTGCTTCCATTACCTGAATTATCACTAATATCATTACTGCCATTTGCAAATCAGTTCGGTAGCTGCTAGATATGCACTAACAATAATTTTACCTTATATCGTGCAAAGTATCAACTACAGTACAGGAATAGATAGTAGAAGAATATTTCAGTCTGATATGAAAGTATCAGTATCATTGTCGCTATTATTTAGTAAGGTAGTCATTCAGGAAAGCTGCAATTAGCAAGGCATAGACAATAGAAGAGTAATTATCTGCGATGTCAGTAAAGATATCAAATCGCCGCCTTATTTTTAACAATCAATTAATTAGGAAGCTATAATTAGCAAAGAATAGACAGTAAAATAGAATTTATCTAACTTTGATGTCAGTGAAGGTGTTAATATCATAACCATTATATTTAGCAATCGGCTAGAAAGTTGTAATTAGCAAAGAATAGATATCACCGATGTCAGTAGAGATATCAGTATCATCATCGCGATCATTAAGTAATCGATTACAAAAGTTGTAGATGGAGAAGGCTGTTTATGTTTAGCAATGACGAAGGTATCAGTATTACCGTTGTTTTCATTTAGCAGTCAGTTAGAAAGCTATAATTGGCTAGAAATACGATACTAGAAGAGTGCGTCGTATTTATCTTAAATGTTAGCGCAAGTGTTAGTACGATCATCGTATCATTTAGATATCAGTAAGAAAGCTGCAATTGTCGAGGAATAAACAGTAAAAGAGCATTTATCTACCTCCGATGTCAGTGGAAGCATCAGTAATGTATCATTATTGTTATCATATAGCAATCAGTTAGAAAGCTGCAATTGGCAATAAATAGGCAATAGAGTATTTATGCCTGATATTTACGAAGGTATCAGTATCATTATCGTTCTCATTTGTCAATTCGAAAACCTACTATTAGCACGTAATACTTCACTAAGTGCGACTTAGAGCTATAAAGTACGTATTAGCTGAGGTAGTAAGATCATCAAATCATTAGTTGCATATCACCATCACTTATCATTTTGCTATCAATTCGACTAGCTGCATTGCCAGAAGGTAAAATAGATTATTAAAGAAATAAGTATCAGTGCTTATTATTTTGACTCGTCCAGTCATCATCACTACTATTCTACTCATAAGAATACTATGACATAATTTCTAGCATTTATACACTATATAATAATCCGTATTCAGTCTTTACTCCACGATCCATTCACCCTCCCTTCTAATGATCAAGCGACATGTATACTTTCCGAAGAAACTTCTAAATAGAGTTTCTTATTAACTATACAAAAATCAAAAAATTATAGCATTCTCTCACCAATTAAAAGATCTACATCCTGACTTGAGCTTAAGTCCGGCGCCTTGCCAATAATTAATGCTGAATTACTGTCAGCAACATTAGTAGTACTGCCACAGCTTATAGCAGGAAAAAGGCTTGCAGTACCATCCTTATAGATTTTAAGATCTAATTCAAGAAAAGAATATCAACCGTAAGATTGTTTTAGCAGTAATTCATAACAATTTTTAGGCCAACCAATAAATTAGTAGTGAGTAAGAATAAAGATTCTAACAGACTACTTATAGAGGATTAGTATCTCCTATATCTAAATCATAATACTGCAAGCTGTAAAAAATACATATTAGGAATTGCACTTTTCAAAAATTGAAATCTAATCGCTGCTGTCGTTTATCGAACGTTATGTTTACGTACCATTTGTGGCGCTGTAGGTAACAGCAATATGAGTCCAAGAAGTAAATGTACCTAAGACAAAGACTGCACGACAAGAGTCCTTCAATTGGTATATAACCTCTACTTTTTGCGAACCTGAGACTGGCTTAACATATTTAATGTCAAAGCCACGATCAGTAGCCGTTGGACTTGCATAAACATGACTGGAGAGTAAATGTTGTGGAGTGACAGTTGCATCAACTACTTTAAACCAAAATAGTGCTGAAAACCCGTTACTGCATTCGTCCGGATCGACAACACATTTACCAGGGTGTGAACCTAAAAGAAATTACACTATTATTTTTGTCGTTTTTTTACCCTTCTAGTAAATAGAAATGGAACATAGACCCAAGTTAAGTATCGTGATATCATTTTAAATTAAAACCTCTGATTATTTAACCGAAGATTTCAGATCAATTGACGATTGGTCTGATGCATTTCTTTCTAGTCGTCATAAAGTTACCATAGATTAAGTGTACAAACCTAAGTCAGCATAAGCATAAGTAGTCTGTAATCGGAGTGCATTGAGTGTATTGCCAGCATCTAATCCAAATTTGAAATTGGTGTGAGAATTATCAGGGCCTGTTATTTCTGTAGTTCCTACAATAATTTCATCAACTGCATTAATTTCATCCATGGGCCATGAGTACGGTGTTTCATCTAAAGATCATTAGAATAATTGATATTAATTTTATTTCAATAATGCTCGTATTTTTATTATTTAAGTTCTAGACAAGTAAGTAGAATACTATCAAAAGATGACGATGAGTTCCCGCACCATATATTAAATATAGAATGCCATCCGCTAAATATTTATATTAATTTTCTTTTATTAATTTATTATTCTTATTTTAAGAATTCCAGAAAAGCAAGTAGAAGGATATCAAAAGTGACAATGAATTGTCATATATAAATTAATGAATGCTTATTTTCTTTATTATATTTTGACATTGACTTTATTTCACTACTATAGTATTCTTGTTGTACGAATTTTAAACGGGCAAATGGAAAACTATCAAAAAGTAACAATGAATTACTGTATCGTATATAAAATATTTATTGCTTATATTCTTCTTTGTAGTATCGTTATGATCGCGAAATAACTATTAAGCATTAACTTTAATTCGATTTAATTCGTAAGATATTGTATATCAGCAATATAAAATCTTGTTATGTTAAATTAAGCGAACTTATTATCAAGTAATACTACCATAACATCGATAAGAGATGGTTAAAGCTTTTGCACTCATTCCATCTGCTATGTATTCATGTTAACAACTACTTGACTCACCGTAACAGCCATACATCAAATTGATCTGGGTATAATCTAGAAAGCTACCACCAGTACGTTGGCCGAGACTTGCAGTTGAAACATTTGGATTTATTACTGTAGACACACCATCGGTGCTATAGTCAATTTTGCCATAGTGCATAACGGATTGATAGTCATATTCAATTCCAAATGGGTCTGCATGTTGATTAGCATGTATATCAAAGTGGACTAAATTGGCTAAAGAAGCAATAAATGATCAAAATGGTGAATGAAATTGCATATCATGAGCTAATATTCCTGTGTTAACTGCATAAGCTCTATGAAACGCGAACTACTGTTCTAAAATGCATTCCTAATTTTAATTTAGTAAAGTTATGGTATCGTCAAATTCTCTTTCTTTATACTAAAAAATATGGTCTATTCGATTAATTGTATCGCATAGGAGACGAAAATTACTATAGTACTATGGGGTCTTTATTTCAGTAACCGTGGATTAAACTTAATTATGATGCAATCTTTGAGAAATACTTTGCTCCACATTCGCGTTATGTTAGAATAAGCACACTATAACGTAAAATGGAAGTAATTATAATTTCCGTATGATTTATCATTAATACGATATTCCAAGATTAAATTTAGTACATACTTTATGATTATTTATATAGTACTAGAAGAAAATCATCTCAGAATATAACATAAATAATCCATATTTCCATATTCTTTATTATGCTTAAGATTTCAGGGTTTTTTAATAATGCATATTTTATGCTGTAGTCACATTATGCTAGACGAAAATCATCTCATAACGTAAAATGAAAATAATGCCAACTCCCGCACTGTTTATCATACTTGAAGATTCCAAGACTTAATGTATATTTTCCATTTATATTGCGTTAGAAAGGACTTATACGCAATATAGAATACAAATAATTTTAATTTCTGCCCGTTATATTTACAGATCTACTATCAATAGGTATCGTTGCTGATAAATTATCGTTAAAAATAATTTATATGAATTCGGTAACAAGATTGCAAAGTGAGAAAATCACATTACTAATATATTCAACTTACTTGAATCTACTTTGGTAGTATCAACTGATACATAAGAATTGCGGTCTAATCGAGAATGAGTATGGTGCAATCCCAAAGCGTGGAAGAGCTCGTGAATGATAATTCCTTCGGTGTCGACACAAAAATTATCTAACGACAACAGTTGTGCTCCACCATGTTTTCCGATAGATGATGAACATCTAAAAACAGATCAAATTAATTTAAGGAATAAGGAAAGGGAACTAATACAAGGAAGAAAACACCTTGATTGAATGCTACAGTGGTGAATTTCCTTTTATCACTAGAGAGTTAATTTATTGTAAAAAATTGATAGCGGCACCGATACTAATTCGCACAGTTATATAATTTACCCAGTAAGAGATCCGATGGATAAGTAATCGACATCGCTACTTAGTTTAGTTGCAAAAGTCAAGCAAGTTTTTGACTCGATTGTATCCATAGCATTTCGGACTTTAGTTTGGCTTGCAGTTGCTATAATCAATCAAATATGCAATGAGAATTCATCAGTAATATATCGAGATATCAATTTATTATTTTATATTATGTGGGCATACACGAGTGTGTCTTGTACTATGAACGCATATAAATTATATGGTAACCAGAACTAAATATATTATAAATCTACTCGTCCTGTACGATATATTTACTGTTATTCTATTCCATTTGCGGTTTATACCGTAACGATTTACAGATCTATACAATATGTTATATAATTTATGAGTCTAGCACCGTAAGGATTTTGATCGTATGCTACTAAGATATACGATCTTGCGTCATTTACATCAACTTAACGGTTCCGATAACTAATTAAGAATTCAATGTCGGTAACGTTTGAATTATCGACCGGAATATTTTTATATCTGCTTATAGGATTAAGATTATTTGATAGCAGAGAAATATCTTCATTATAAATTCAATTAAAAACAGACAATTTAGTATGAAAAAATATCCAAATTCGAGGCTTAATTATGCTAAAAGAAACTGCCGTCGTATATATTATCAAGACGAATATCCGAACTAGTAAAGCAGATATACCAGATGTTCAATAAATAGATACAAGTATTCATAGTCAACAGGATTAAATTTATTGGTTAACAGAGCATAAGATAGTTCGTCATTAAAGGCATTAAAAGAAAATATTCTGCTAGGTATCAGTAATTCATTGAAATAGAAAGATAACCTATATTTGTACTTCGTAAGTACCTACATGATTGGCTAAAGTAGAGATAGATCCTAGCTATTGCACTTACGGTATCCTGTTACGAACTTATATGGTATTGTTGAGCCCCATAGATTTCCAGCAATTCCAAATGTACCTAAGCTGCGCTTCTTCCTAGTTCCCATCATTACGGTATCAGGAACCAAGATATCTCCTTCAATAACATTATTTAGCACTTGTCTCTCTATAAAGGGTTAAACATAATAAGTAACAAGTAAATTGAGTTGATTTACTACTGAAAAACAGTTTTTATGCTGATTAGCTAAATATAAATGTAATTAGTCTGCAGTTCCTTCCAGGCGCATCTTATTGTTTAGGTTAAAATTGACGATATAGAAAATGTTGATTCTCTCAATTACTTCTGCTTATAAGGAAATTGAGCTTCAACAGTTATTATAATTATTATACTTTTAAATGTTACCTGAATTCCCTTCATATATGTTAGCCATAGCAGGGGCTAGAGGATCTAAGATAGGTGGTTGTGGTTCATCATAAGTAGAATGCACCATGTATCTATAGCCCGGATTAGTACTGTACATAAAGTGGTTATAGGGTATGAATTCCCCAGACTGAACTTGCTGAGCTATATTAGCTTGCATAACAAGCTCCAAAGCAAATAAATAATAAACACTCATTTTGCTGGATATTCCATGGGCGGATATAATATTTGCCATATTTGATGCATCAAGAAAAAGAGGTTGAATTACACTTGGATTATTTTTTTTAAGGCTTTTTTTGGCGTAAGTTAATGCAACAAGGACCAAAATGCCGATGGCAATCCTCCAACATGATTTTATACGCATTATGAAATTGATTTATGAAATTATTCTTCGGATCAGAGTAGACTTACTGAGGATTACTTTGCAAACGCAGCAGCTTTCACTTTATAACTAATAATCTTACGAGAACCAGATCGGGGGAAGCGATTATTAGACGGGTATAATCTTATTGCCAGTCTAAGGTACGTAAAATCATTCGTTTGATTCACTTTCTATTTTATCTCTGATATGACTAACTGAACACAATTGAAATATTATATAGTAGCTTTGAGCTCCAGTAAAACTTAATTATTTATTTTGCTATAGTATTGGAATGGTTAAATTTCATAAATATATAAGTTACAGGAAATTACAGTCACAGATTCCATGAATAATTCTATTTAACTATAGGTATTAAACAGCTCCAGACTTGAGGAAGAAAGAATAGATTCTATGTGAAAATAGCTAAAAATATTCGCCAATTACTAATTAAAAATAAATATCGCAGGTGCATCACTTACTCTATTGCTTATACTCTATTATGGTCGTGGCAATAACAGGATTTTCACACGTTCATTTATTTATACTAATGCAGTCTAATAGTAGCTGTCATTTGATTACGTATTTTTTTTTACGTTTATGCTAGGCCATAAATAACTTTCTATGACTTTAAAATATAATTAATGACATAGACACCAAGATTAAATTGATGGACCTTGTTAGAAAATCATTATCGCTAGCATAAGGTTTATTATTTTCGAGATAGTAATGAAATTCGAATTCATTTTTGAGTATTTTAAATGGTTATATGATAGTTTAGACTAGGCGGCATGCAATAGCGATAGATAGGTAATTTACGGTATATTCCACGGCAATATTTTTTGGTAGCTTGATCTCTCGATATATAGAATTAGTAAGACTTGAGCTACGTATTTGCCAGGACATATTTTTATAAGTAATGAATATTTTATGTCTTTATTGATAAATATTTCTAAAGATTTTTATCTCATATTTCAATTTGAGACTTATTGGTATTATCTAGCTTTTAAAATAGCTCTCTCGTTTAATATAAGTTTCATCTATGAAAATTCTACATTTCCAAGTTGAATTGTACATGTTTTAGTTCATAAATATAAAGCACAGATTAAAAATAACGATAAATACTGGAATGAAATCTAACTGCAATAGAGCTTATAGTGAGTACTAATCAAGGATGAATAAATATACGACATCTATTTCCTTAACTAATTTAAAAATGATTTCAGATGACTAGCATTCTTTCGTCGGTCATACCATATATTAATATCAAAACCAAAATCAAGTTTTGACGATTAATATAATATACTAAATTGAGTAACTATAAATGGAATTATACAGCTTATAATAATCATCTTCATATTAATCGCTATTGGATGCAGATTATGACGTAGTTGGATTATTTATTAACGAAGATATTACGGATTCGATGGTAAAGTTTAGTGCAACATCCGAAATAGTTAATAAACCGTAACATCAAATATTTTTTGTTAATACTACGAAGTGTTTACTATATTGAGGTCTAATATAGTGTAATTATTGATATTTTATTTTTAGGATCATTTACTTAATTAGTAAATACATTTTATTACTATTTGTCCTCAATTTTCGGAAAGGTATTTAATTGATTTATTAGTATAAATAGGCGGATTTGGTGGTAGCGAGTAAACAAACTCTGATAATCAACAATAATGCATAAACGCATTATTGCCTCAATAATTAACATATCCCAGAATTGTAATAAGAATTGAGACTTCCGTAAGTGATATTGAGAAAACTAAGGAGGTCATGAATTACGCGACAATACTAGCTAAATTGGAAGAATTTGCCCTGTTGTCGATCTTAATAGGCATAGAAAAATCTTTGATTAAAACTATTGTAAACATGCATATATTGCACTAGATTTAATTATATATACGCGTATGACTATATATTATGTTGAAAGTCATAGAGAGTCGATCTATACTTTAGACAAAAGTTATGATATCATTTCACGCATGTCTGGGTAATGCATATTAAATCAAACTATCGATTTCCATTCATTAAAGTCATTTCCTAGATCAACATTGTACTATACGTGATAGAAGGCTAGCAGTTACTTCTATTAGGACATACGAGTACTGTAGATAGATGCAGTATTTGTGTAATTTAATACCCCTTTAGCAATCCCATAGGAATTAAGAAAAATCACCCAGAATATCGTGTTTATCACTCTACTAAGCATTTATGGTAAGAACTGAGGTGATCCACGGGTATGCCAATAATCTTTAATATCGCTATAACGAAAACAATGTTATTGGAATTTTTCAATGTATTCGATATTGACATTATCATTATATTTAATAATGAGCAATTGGGCTTAATTGCCGTTTAGACAAATGGTGTAAGCGCTTCGGATATTAACTAGTACACGGGTTTAGTTTATTTATAAGAGAGTATCCCTTTTAATTAAACAATACATGTGGCTCTTACTGTTCTGCATGTTAGTTGCCACTAGAAAATCTTTGATATTTAATGCCGATTCATCGGAATTTATGGTCTGGATGATGTACAAATGGTTACATCGACTTACACAGTGGTGTAAGGATATACAAGGTGGGCTCGCAAATGATAACGGAATTGACATAGAGCGTTGGGCTGAATCATGACGTCTAACATTGCTGTTTTCTCCTTAACATTTGTTAAAGTAGCTATATTTTTTGCCGTTTTAAGTCTTGAAGTGGCTAAAGTTTCATAAGAATAAATAATTACTTTAAAATTGACCCAATCATTAATTAAAATTTTATAGTTAGCTGAGTAGCAATGCTGGCGTATTAAATTATCATCTCCAAGTTTTAGGTATATTAGATTTTGAACTGTGTATAGTGTGTAATTCATAATCAGCGCTACCGCTGATATAGAATAGTTATAGTAACATGATGGCATAATTATTGAAACTAATACTTTTAATTATTAATTAGATAAATGTTGAATGCAACCATCTATATTTTAGTGATATTAATACAGTATAGGAAATACACGCTAATTTGTTATCTTAGATTTATTTGGATTATTAACATCAGATTCTTGGATAACCCTAATTTTTGACCATTATTTTTGATATGAATTATCCGTTATTTCGGTGATTCATTACTTATAGCAATAACTTAAATATACATAACGATATGTGAATTTCCAAAGGTCGGAATATGTTTTTACAGTGACCATAGGCATTTTTGACTGACAGAAGAGAAGAATAATAAAGATGCTAGATTACAAGTCGTGTCGATAGAAATCATAATTTCGACACTATAGAAAGATAGTTAATTTAGGTTTTCGCTCTCTTGGTTTTACAATAGTCGAAGGCAGATATAATTAAATATGGATAGAGTTTAACTAAAGGATTACTACAGTGTCATCTTGATAGAGTCAGACGGTCAACATCTGTGTAAACTTGGTATGACTTTCTAATTTGATATATACGAGTAATATCGGACAGTCACTAAAATACGGGTGTGTTCAACTTAGATACTAAACAATAGCCAACAGGAATTCTTCTCTGCAGCCAAAAAAGTAACGTAATACTTAAATTTTTAACTAAAACGTTAAAAAAATGTCTAATCTTCTAAACATCGTTAGTTATTTCTTTCCATGCGACATTGCTTTTTTGATAAGATTCATTCTCTATGGTGAAAGAAATAATGACAGTAAGCTCAGGCTGCGAAACAAGCGTGATACCGCGATGCTCAGGGACATTACCTGTTTATGAGCTTCAGTAGAAATCAATTTCTTATATGGACGTACTTCATCACATCCCATGCCTGGTATCCACATATTCCATTTATGTTCTATAAAATGAATGAGATTTATCTTTTGCGGTTCAAGAAAAGCGTTTCATAGGATATGCAGTACTAGATAATATCGGATAAATCCAAACCTAAATGCAGCATGACATCTTTAACTTCTAACGTATTGGATTTGCGATGCTTAGCGAGAGAGCAAGATCCGCTAACAACGCTTTCGATGAAATCATCAGCTAATTGCAATAAATGCTAAAAATATTAAGAATGATATCAATTATTATTTTGTACGTTACGTCGTTTGAGTATGATCAATGCCAAGTATATGTGGTTTAAGTGAGCATTTTCGTGTAAGATTTTGCACAAAGGTAAAACTACCTCTTCTACATCTTCATCTAATTGCTGGAGAGGATCAACTTCAAGAACAAGTTCTTGCAATCTAGCTTTGGTTAAGACCTAACGAAGGAGAATTGTTATGATAGGATTTGATCTTCGTTAGCACCTTGTTTCTAGATATAATTATTTGATAAAATGTTAGTTACCTCCTTTGCTTGAGTGTTGATTGGATCTTTTGCTGATATTAAATGTTAAATAAAAAGCAATATCGTTCAATAAATAAAATAGTGTTTATCAAGAGATACGTAGTTTGATTAAAGGCCATTAGAGTGTCTTAAGTTTTTACTCTTCTAAGTTAGTAGTCAATATCTAGTATGATATAATGTGCATTGCTATAATTTAGCAAAATGATAAATCAATCATTACTTGTAGTGCCATTAGTAGCTGAAAGATTAGTATTGGATTGTACGCTTTTTAAATTAGTTGCTGATACTGATTGATTCTTGAGAAATACTGTAGGACTAGCAGGTACACTACTATCGGAAGGTGATAATAGGGAGGATGATAGCTTTGTGCTAGCCACCATCGGCTGTTGTGATTGCTTTTTTGATTGTAAATGTTGCTGAGACTGAAGCATTGGAGATTTCGGCTGTATGGCAGGATTAGTACCAACCATGACCGTGGAAGGGGTGGTCATAGCAGCTGCAATTGTATGTGGCGAGACCGATGACGGTAATGGAGCGATTGGTTTATGCTATAATAAAATATAAGATTGATAGTTTAATTCTACATCGTCGTTTACCCATTAATAAGTCTTTATCATACACTAGCTTGTGTTAACAATCCATATTCTGGGGAACCGACAGTAAACATCTAGTAGATCGGGCATGATACATATTAAGGTTTCATGATTTCGTTGATGTTATCAACATGATTAATAGCTATTAGACTAGATAATCTTCATTTGATGGATCATCCATGACAGCACATTAAAGTATAGCCCTACTTTGACTACATTTGATACGTATTAATACACCTTTTCTATTACTACTTTGGACACGTATTAAGGTTTTCCTGATTTCGTTGACGTTATCAATATGATTTACAGACTAAATTAGGCAATCTTCATTGTCTGATGAACTTGCTTTGATAATACTGTAGAGTGGCCTATAGCTCTACAATTATTACCGTTAGTTCTGATTTAGTAAAGTTTGTCAATATATTAATATGCATCGATTGGACTAGACAATCTTCATCATTTGGCGGATCTAGTACACTATTATATTGAAGTGTATCTATACTTTTACTGCTATTCGTTCTATAATCTGATTTTACTGATGCTATCGATATGATTAATCTGTAGATTGGGACTAGGCAGTCGTCACTGTGTGCAGGATTTTCTAAGATAATACATTGATTGCATTCGTTGTGATCCTGTTAAGGTTGCTAATACTATTATTAACACGCGTAGATTTGACAAGACAATCATTATCAATCTGACGGAATTTCTAAAATAATAATACAGTAAATTACAGCTGTGCTTTTACTGCTGTTCGTTGCATAGTCTGATTTCAATGACGTTATTAACATTGACTAGTCGATTGGACTAGACAATTTTTCATCGTCTGGTAGATCTTGCACGATGCTCCATTGAACTATACAGTAGGTTTATTTTTACTGCTGTTCGTTTTAGCCTGATTTGGCTGACGTGAATCGGTATTATTAATACATTGGACAACAGCCTATTCATCGTCTAATACATCGTTGATGATATTACATTGACTTCTAGTTCCATGTTTACTCCTATTAGTACTATAGTCCAAAAGGACATCAGTTAATTACTACCGCAATGCATTGGTTGATTCTTCTTCTCCCTTACCTGTGACTGCTTGTTGTCCATCGTCTTGGCAGATGATTATCCACTAAATCTACAATCCAGTAAGGATAAGAGAAATTCATTTTTATCGATTAACAACAACTCTATTCCATTCAATTCGACAAGATAATTTTGCAATAGTCTATTGCTAAGATTGCAGCGCTTGCACTCTTGAATAAAATGGAGCCATTTTACTTTCTTCTTAGCAGCAATTTTTACTCATTCTACCATGACACTATCACCTCCAGTACACTTTATGCATAGGGTACATCAGCATGGGATACCATGTTGAATAAGGCTCACCTAGCTTGGAAGTGATCAATCTATCGTCTTCAACTGTAGCTTTGATTGGCAGAAAATGGAACTATCTCGTATTTGAAAGCTTGAAAATGGATCAACGATAGCGATGATGGCAGTTAATGACAACTAGATATCCATCATGTCTGGCCAGGTAGGCAATGGAGAGAAGAAGGGGAAAGCAATTTGATTGTATAGTGTATGGAACCGGTCCGACAACTTTAAGGCTATAGTATAGAGTAGAGAGTGAAAAGAGGAATGAAATACAATAGTATCCAAGACCCACTCTGGATGCTGGATGTCGACTCGTCCGTCCAGTCGAGGTCTTGGGTAGACGCTGGATCATAGACAGACAGACAGTAGGCTAGTGTCGCTTTGCCTAGGATATGACATTACTTTTGCGCAGGAATTTCGACTTTCAAGTCTATTGGCTTGGGAACAAGTCAAGTATTGTTCAGCGACAGGATAGCCTATCGAGCAAAAGGGATGTCGGTGTTGTAGGACAGATCATTGCTAATACTAAAATAGTATACCACAAGTACTGTATAGAACAGTAGACTAGTGGTCATCCTGCGTACATCGACAGAGCATGCGTATGAATCGGCACTGGTGCTATGACTACCGTTTCAGCCAGCCGCTCAGCCTCCAGACACTACGGTAGTAGGAGACAGGCAGCACGTTTTCAGATACTTACCTATATCCAACGGGGTTGAGAGAGAAAATTAGCTGCAAAAAATTCAAGTTGCAACTCGAATTTAGACTCCAAGAAGAAGCAAAGCGAATAGATTAGAGAGAAAATGTCTCGGCAGACTCCACGTGTATCAGTAGAAGGAAGAAAGTTTGTAAGTATTTGAATGGTTATCGTTATTGAAGTAGATGAGTTCTAGCAGTGATCTTACATGTAGAATGCTGATGCGAAAAGATGCGAATGGAAGTAGCCATCGCATCGCATACTGGACTTGCACCATGTGAAACTACAGTCTCTAGATGGATACTGGATTGATATTATGTTGCTTCAATTTAAACTAGAGCTCAGAGGTTTTTGCATTAACTTATGGAGCATTGGTAGCGCAACTTTTAAAGGATTATGAAAACGATGATGACGTCAATAAACAATTGGATAAAATGTAAGCATGACAGCATTTCTGTATGATTGTACGATAGAACGCTTTTGGCCTCAAAGCTAGGCTTGAATTTGTCTATGAATGTGTGATTCCATCCTTTTCTTATTAGGGGTTACAGTATGGGTGTTAGGATGATAGAAGATTTTTTAGCTCGAAATAATATTGGTAGATGCCACGATTTTCGTGATACTGCCGATATCATTGCCAAGGTAGGCTTCATCGACATGACTCTTGCACAATAGATTGAGAAAGGTTATTCAACGATAGAATGCAATGGATGAAATGCTAATCCTAGGAATAATCTTCATCTTTCTCACACTAGAATGGCTTCAAGACATTCTTAGGCATTACACCTAATGTCACTAATTGGAGTACAGATGGGAAAGAGTTCTCTTTAATCTTAGACAATAATCCGTTAACCGAATTTGTCGAATTACCTGAAAATCATTCTTCCTTATCTTTTTCCAATATTTTATGTGGGGCATTAAGGGGTGCTTTAGAAATGGTAAATTGATGCAATAAATTTACAGTATAATAGCCTTATCGATATCTAGTGTCTTGCCGCTAAAGTATCATCTATTGCTACTAGAATTAACAAGAGTGATCTATCATTTGCATGACTATTCTGTCATCACTTGAATACCAATTTAAAATTCACGCAGTTGTCATGATACTGTATTACCTCCATGCTTTCTTACCTGCATAAAGTATTGACTTACAATAATTGAATACTGTCAGCACTGATGACTGTTTTCGTTTCGTAACGTACTGCAGGTTCAGATGGAAGTTGAAGTTTGGTTTGTCCAAGATTCTTTGAAAGGCGACGATACCACTGAGATCAGGCTGAAATTTATTAAGAAACTAGAGGATGCCTTACCCGATGGAGAAGATTAATAGGGTGGAGCTGTTTAGCCTTATTGTTGTATTATTATTTCTTCAATTCTTATTTAATATACCATTACTGCATCCTTGTATTCGCATGCGTGTGCAAACACTCTATACAAGATTATACTGTTTATGGGAAAATCTTTCACCTATAAGGAATGTAGACTTGTTACTGACTCATTTCTACCACCACTGTTAAATTACCTGAAAAAAATTTTTGTATTATATGATATCACAGGTTGCTTTTATGGGCATTACTACAGTAGACGGTATCTTTGTTAACGGGTTCTATTTCATAGTTCCTTTAATTTAACATTGGAGTATACAGTATAGTCTTTATGTAAGTAATTTCATGGTTTGTTGTTAATTAATACTACTTATGATAATATCATTTATTGCTATAGTTAAATCCTATTAGTAATCTATCTTACAGCAATTAGCTGCTATAGTGGCATAAAAAAGTTAGTTATACTGTACGCATAAACATTGTGTACCTTTTCTCAATAATTTGATTGAGAACCAGATGTTTTCTCATGAAATTTTATGTTATAACTTTGTGATGCAATCAAAAGACATTTCTCATTGCGTTTTAAAAGTAGAATAGAATTTATTTTCTGATGATATTTTGCATATTATAAATACGTGTATGATATTTTAGCTCAGTAATACAGTAATATACTTTGTTTATTATTCTAACAGAGCAAAATAGCTGTTGGGCTATGATAAATGTGATAAGGATTAATTCCATGAAACAGTTCAGAGATTATCTAACGTAAAGTAATAAAAAATTAGCTATTTACATTGAATTACGCATAAAGAACCCTTCTGTACACGATTATTTTTGATTTTAACTTATGATAAAGCAATGAAGGCATGATTGCTGCATATTGATTAAGCATTAGATTTTTCATAATTTTCACTAGGCTTATGGGCTACGATAGCGTAGTTTACTTTAGTGTTGTCAAGCCACCCAGCATTATTTGTTAATGGATTGTAGAAAATTCCTCCAATAAAATCCACATTTAGTCCGCCTATAATTAGACAATAAAATACAAAGTATATTAATGTATGTGTGCTGGTAATATACCTCTATAGAGCGAGTAGTGAAGTGAAGTGTACTCTTCCTACATACACGTATACTTGTACGGCGACAAACGTAAATTAAAAGTGTTGAATAAAACAAGTAATTTAAAAGGATTTCTACAACCATGGACGACGCGACGCTAAAGTGCTATTTTCTTGATAGTACTCTATATAGCACCTTATTCTTTTATGTTATAGCTTTTACTTTACACATGTTACAGTTATTTTTTCGTAATACTATCAAGATATGTATAACCTCTTACATGGACCGTGACATAACCATATACGTACTGTATATTTGCTGTTTATTTAAGTAAAGATTGTATAGATGAAACAAAATATTTTCTTGAGTTTTGATAATCACAATTGATTTAGAGATAACAGATTTGATAGGCTATACCTTCCTCTAGCTTTTTCGTTAGCTCCTTAGGAGTAATAAATTTCTTCCAATCATGACTTCCAGCAGGTATGATTCTAGAAATATATTCGCCGCCAATTATCATTACCGCGTACGATAATGGTGTTCTATTTATGGTTGTAACAATGTGTTTTCCACCAGGCTGAAATGAGAATCATCGAAGTGGGTTAGTTATCTCATCTTTTCACTTTATGCATAAAATTAATTACTACAGTCATGGATTAATTAACGTAAAGTATTGAATTATATGATTTAAGATAACAAGAATAATAATAGCTGTCTATCGTCTACTTGCTAATGACTATTTTTGCACAATTTTGGAAAGTGTATTTTTAGTACTAAATTTAAGAGTACAGTATTATCTTTATTGTATACCTTTAGTGCCTAATTATTTGATCTAAAGTAGCAATAATAACGATTACATATCGTTTACTGGTAAATTACTATTATTATACGAAATTTTGCTAGCTCGTATTCTTAATGCTAAATTCAGAGATATATTGGTTGGTTTCATTAAATTATTACAATACCTTTATCAACTGACAACAGCTAGATACGAATAAATCTACGTTATCAACGTGTTCAATCACTTCTGATGCAATTACAGCATCGAATGATTGTGCGTTTTCTGTCGTTGTTAGTTGCTCGATTGTTGTACACTGATAAGAAACATTAGCAGCTACTCGATCGCATTTTGAAGCGTGTGCTTTAGCCACATTAATAATTTCAGAAGAGGCATCAATACCTGTAACTTGGGCTCCAAGTCGTGCTAAAGGCTTGAGATATGGCAAAAATTACAATTAACATTGCCAATAAAATATTGTAACGCATTATTTTAACTAAATAGAACATTCTAGGTCAGACTATGTGCTCAGTTAGTAAGAGATTGTAGTTAATGAAGAATATCTATTATAACATCTTTTATTGCACAATATGGATTGCAGTCATGTAAGTACGAGTAGTTTTAATTTATTTATTACTATTCTGGTAAGATTAATAGTTACAGTATAATGAAATTCTACCTCGCATAGGATACCACCACCACATCCAACATCTAAGATTTTGTATCCACTCAATGGTCGAGGTTGATCAATTTTGTGAGACTTTTCATCTCCTAGCAAAGCATCTCTTATAAGTGGAACACGAACCATATTCAATGCATGTAAAGGCATATTTTTATTATTCCACTGCCACCACTTGCTTGCAATATCAGAAAACTGTTTAATTTCCTCCTCATTGGCTGTTGAAGTGTTTGTGTTATGTCTTTGTGAGCTGATATTGACAGGAAATCGGAGTTTTCCTACATTTCTATCAAGATTTATAACAGCAGTTGCTGATTATCTGGGCAATTTACAAACGTGGTATTATTACTGCTAGATTAAGAATCTTCCATTGCAGTGTACTGATGCAGGATACGAGCATTAAAAGTGTACAATCCGATAGGAGGTGTTGCACACTTTGGAAGATACTCCACCGTACTACTGTATCGTGATTGTATTGTCAGGTACGTGTACACGTACTGGCATTTCTCGTTTCTTTATTTGGATGTTTAACGTAATGGGCTAAAAGATGTTTCTGCTTTCAATTATCTACTGAACATCTGTACCTCTCATCCATTTCATTTTGATAAGAGGTAGTTATGACAACATGTTGATGATGTATTACCAGTAGGTAGAAATGCAGAAATTAGACATGAGTAACAAGACTAAGGGATTACGTCATACAAAATTTTGACACTCTTGATCTTCGTCGATAACCAATTACAAATTCTAGCTACTTTAGTGTATTATTAAGTGCATAGTATGAATAAATTGTGCTTTACTACTCATCAACATCGCTATTGAGTTCGATATACGCGTACTTGTGTAGAACACAATCTACATATTGTGCAAATTTTTGTTCAGCTCGCAGATACGCATTACAGTAGATCGATTCTTCCGTTGATTTGTATGTATGAGGGTTATATTCAATACTTTAAACTTACCTGCAAGCATATCCTAGGCGGTTTTTTTGCAAAATAGAATAAATTCTGCATCTACTTTCAGCAAAAAGAGATCCCATAATGATGTAGTACAGTAATACGAGTTACGGCAATTTCGAGGGTTGATCGTTGATCTTTTGCATAGGATTGTTCAAATACTTTGCTGTAGCCCGTAGGATGCAGCCGATTGCACATAGACTTGCTGTACTTTAGGTACAGTATCAACGTACCGCGTTAAGCAGTATTAAAGGCATGTACTTGTGACATTATTTTTGCTAGCGATGTATTCCGCCGGTGGCTGAATAGGGCTAGGTAAGAACCGTTCGCAAAATTTATGTCGCTCCTTGTTGCCTTGAGTATTGCTTGGATCAATCAGTGGATGGTCATGGGTGACATTATTATTGTACAGACTGCTATAAGTGTGGTACTGAGTAAGGAATACTGAGCATAGCTCAGTTCACCCCCATCCGCTTATAATCACAGACTCATACTAAGATCAATCCTGCGCCCATTTCATATGATACAGTATGGCTATCACAGCGCGGTCTGCAACATACTGTACAGGCATCGTGTTTAAGACGTAAAAAGATTTACAGTTAAAAGCTTTTAATATGTACTGTACACTGTACCCTACAGTATTTGTATTGTACTGTTGATGACTGCCTAATGCTTACAGTACTTACACTACGGTGTACAGTACTATATATTGTGAATACATAAATATATACTGTACAGTATTCCTTAGTCCGGAGCCATTTCATCTTACGTAGAAATAGACGAAGGACGATTATTATTACAGTAATATCTAGATTTAAAAGTCATCAAGCAATGAATTATTATAATATAATCTTCTGTTTTTTAATCTTGGCTGTCCTAAAAGGCGTATGTGTCCATGGAGGTTAGTACGAATATTGCTGTATGGAGGATTAGTTTAGGGTATAGTGTGACATGTCTGCAATTTGCACATTACTGTACAGCACATTCCTATCTAGCTAGTAGATTAGAATATCGCTTTCCAGTTTTTAAACGTATTCCGGGTGAAGGAAAGTACTCGACGAGATTGCAATTCATCGGGATTCTGATGTATAATTTTATGAACTGATTTCCACTTCTAGTTACTTATTGCACGCTAGTAAGCTTGCAAACAAATAATATCATGATTAGGCGAGACCGTGTAGTCTGATAAGATGGAGGTAATATTCGTACGTATGATTCAGATTGCAGATAAATCAATACTAAAGATAGATTGGAGACGATGGAGATACAGATAAATTGATGGGCGTATGTTTTTTACATTTCTACTATATTGTTAACGTAGCGTTACTGTTTAGAGATGTCGAAATGGTATGCAACAGTGCTACATCACGTCGAGTTGTTAACTATTTGTGTAAAGTTTTCATCGTTTTACGCGTATGTTTAACAGTTTATAAATTAATGATATGGTAATGGATTGTGCTTCAACTCGACAGACATAGACGTGTTACTATATACTGATGGGATTGTATTTAGTCTCATAATCCTAACTGTACCTTTACTAACCTTCTATGACAGGGAAAGAAATGACATGCGGCTCTGCTGTTAAACTAGTCAATATAAAGTATAATGCTCGCTTACATTCCCACGATGTGAAATACGGTTCTGGTAGTGGACAGCAGGTATGTGTTGATTTCATCTTCATTTATTGATCTGCTCTACAGATGATACTGTTGTAATACTGTATGTATATGCTGTAGACGTATATAAACTATGCATGAATAAATCTCATTCTCTTAAACATCGTTATGAGTAATATAAGGAACAGGAAAGGAACTTTTGTTGTTGATGCTACCCCACTGCATTCTTGCATGCTACGCCTGCAAATGTTGAGATTATTATTAACTTGTTACATATTCTGCAATATCACCATGCATAGTATCACTGCATAGCATGTAGATTTTACTTACTTACTCGCCTTCAGGTTTATGATTTACCTTTCTTACTACCTCCTCATGATTCTAGTCTGTCACTGGTCAACCAGCTAAAGATGATGTTAACAGCTATTGGATTATCAAGGGACCTCATGGTAAAGATTGTCTTCGAGGGTAAGGAGAATTGATAAAATTCGTGCGTTATGGTGTAGTAATACTGATATCGTCCATGGCATAATACTCTCTACAAAGCGGTAGAATCTATCTATTACATAAGGCATCATTCTTCCCCTTGCAACTAATTCCTCATGGAGTTATACCATGGACTCTTACATTTACTTGATAAATGTAGAGATCCATGGTACAACTAAAATGTACATTAAGCGTATGTTATAATCAACTATGGAGTTTTGCAGTTGCATTGTCCATGTTGGACATGCTAGGCATCCATCATTGATTAGCTTCCAATAGGACACAGTATGGATATCATAATTTGTTATCATTTGTAATAATGACTATGGATTGTAAATGAGTGAATGAGCACCAGTGTAGATGCGAATATGGCCAAGCTGTTGTCCAATCAAATTTCGCCACGAAGTGATGCGATGTCCCTAAATAGTACAAATAGTACAGTGCTGGAGTCAGCCAGTGTGAATGCTATACTTCTGAGTACTGTACTGTACAGTGTACAGTACAGTAGTAACGCTGACTGGATACTGTACTGTACCGTTCCGTACTGCATCGGTCCGTAACTGGTCCGTTCTGGTCTAGACCGGACCGATTTTTCAGGTTTGGTCCATACTGTTACTGTACTGCAGACACAGACTGACGTTGCCCGGAAGCTCGCAGCTTTTAAGAGTATATTGCAAATATATACTTCTTATACACGTATATAAATAATACAAATTATTTATATTATCAATTAATTATAACGTATATATACAATCATCTCATTCATGGCTAGTTCGCGCTTGAAATGAAACACAGTTTTGCTCTAGTTTAGTAATGTTACTACGAAATCCTTATCGAGTTACGGCCTATGCAAGTGCTATTTTGATTGCATTGATCTATCTCATTATATACTATACGTATTCTAATAAAATCTGTATTTTTCCTTTATTAATCAATTTTGAAGGACTGCAATCAAGTGTGGTGCTACGATTCGGTTAATGCACGCTGCAACTGAAAGCCATCTTCATAGCCATCATTTCCCATCTCCTCTTTCTCATAATAAAGAAGTTAGTTGTTTTGGTGGTAAAGACAAAGGGGATCACTTAGACAATTGGATGGTAGTTTGCAATACCAATCGCAAATATTGGATGCGCGATGAACAGATTCGCCTAAAACATGTAGAATTAGCAAGGTATGTGCAGTAAATGTCAGATATATTTTACAATGGTACTTTTATGCTATACCTAACTCTGATCATAAATTAATAGTTAATATTTCAATTAATGCGATAAATAGCCACAATTTTGTAACCTGTTTCACTATATTACACATGTTTAGTTATTTGCATCTAACTGGTGACGTTTTCGGCCGACCAATAAACGGCCAGTACGAAATTTCTGGATATCATGCTACGGAGCGTGGTAACTTATGGAAGGCTGCGGTAGGTCCATGTTATATTAATGTTTTACATTGATGATAAAAGAGGGTCGATTATAATTATTGGAAAGGCAACTCTGATAGTTATTAATCTTATAGGAGGGTGTATACCTTACTGCCAAGAAAAACTAAGAAAGCTACAATCCTATGATCGTAAAACATACGCCCGAATATAAAATCGTGTTCACATTGTAACTATAGAAATTGAATCTCATACATGTTATCTAACTACATAGAAATTGCGTTAATGAAAGTTTAGGTATGAAAATACTCTTTCATTTGCGCAGCATAGCTGGTATGATTAAGTCCTGTTGGCGAAAGAATTCTCCATGCCAGATAGAATTGTAGCATCTACAGATGCTTTGATAACCTTAAGATCATACAATACTGATAATTCGTGTTTTAGCATGCTGTTACCAAATTTATATTGTAGTAAATACTGTAACAAAGTACGCGTACTCGTGAATCAATACGACATACTGTATAGCTGATTTTATCAGTCGTAACTCACATATTACACTGCGATGATGTCGATTTAGAAATATACAACAATAAGGTGAGGAACCTTCTGATTTACTAAAGTTCAATGTTTTCCTTTTTATTAACCTCAATAAACTTGGATTCACACATTTGTAAGCATACTTGTAATGAATGGCTATTTCGATAGATATATGCAATGTACTGTACATTGTAATATAAATCAGAACTTGTTGCTCATAGGCTGCTTTTGCAACTAATTAATAGTATATAGTTAAAGAGCAATCTCCCTAATTAGTCAGCTGCAAAGCTGAATGGTCTATGGTAAATTGACGAAATTCTTATCGACATCATGTAGCAGAAAATAACATCATAACTTTTTTAAATAAGTCACAAAAATTTATATCAAATACTGCAAACCTTTAATAAATTCTATATATTTTATACATTATAACTACATGTAGATAATAGATAGATTATAGTAACATAAAACTTCTTACGGCATAAGTTATATCAAATAGTGATATATAGGTAGTTGTAAATCATCTTTTAATTAGCGAGACTTGTTACTAGCCTTCTTGGAATGAAGCCAGTAGCTATCATGAATAGAAAAAGCATCCACTGATACAGATAAAACTTTTGATGGTATCTCACGGAATTGTTTAGCTCCGGTATAGTACCTATGTGCAATTGATCGGAAATGTTCAGTCATAGACTAATTCAAATGAGATCTTACGATGGTATACGTACATAAACGATAAAGTTAGCTTTTCGCATAAGCTATAACTATATACATAATTATATTCTTGTAAGCACGAATGCAATAACCGTACGTATTACCATGGACCTCTAGAGATTCTAGAGGTCCACGGTATTACAGCGAACTTACTTAAAGGATTTTTCAATCATATTCGGAAGCACAAGCCTTGGTCCAGTACCGAATATTTTTTCGGCCTAGGGGTAAGCAGGTATTTAAAAAATCAACTTAATCCATATTATACTTCCATTTACTACACTAAAAGTTGACAAATATCTAGCAGACTGATAAATCTAAACTTCCTAAATTGTTACCTCCTCAATGTCATGAAAAAATGCATACAATCCACGAAATTTGCTGCCATTTTGATCTCGAAAAAGTACCATAAAAATGCTTGCATCTGATTCTTCCATTGCCTAGTAAAAAAAAGTGAGAGTTTAATCGATGGTGAATACTTATGATTTATATTGCATATACATGATACAGTCAAATATATATATGTACTTAGTGTATATTTACTGCCAAGTTAATAATCCTATGTAATTTTCAACTTTATAAAACCTTTTTCGCATAAATGATTTTACAAGAGTATTTACAATAATTAATTATTGGTGACCATATATCCTATGACTTAAACTTTTATGTCGTAGATTTGTATAATATAATCTTCATGTTAAGAAAGTATATAATCAAATTATTAAAACGCATCACTTCTAACTCTTTTAACAAATATTTCTGGTGTTGCCTACCGACAAAGCGTGTTCACGTTGATCCTTATTTACAGTTCCAGCCAAACAGACATACTCTAATGCATTTATCAACACTTTTTTATTAGACTTCACTGACGGTTTGACATAACACGGAAGTGCACCTTAGATAAATATCAATGATATCAACTCGTTAGTATCCAAAAGTTTCCAGCTGAAATACGTGTGTCCTGTACAGTATACTGAACCGTAGAGGGATTACTGTTATAGAATAGCACATTAGTAACAAGACAATTTAATGTATTTACCACTTTCTGATCCGAGAGAATTTATAGAATTAGACGATCCATAGCGAGAGCTTGCAGCCGATAATGCTCCAGGGGTTGCTGCTTTACTGCTACCTCGAATCTTAGAGCCAATGCCATCGCTTTCATGACGTTGAGAATTTCTCGATGGCGATGCAGCTACTGCTCGTGAACATTGATAAATTTGAAGTACAATAAGTATAAGAAAAAGTTTAGACTAAGTAGATAATGCCGTTATTAATATATGTGATAGTGTATAACCTTTCCCCCGATTCGAAGCAGAAGTATTTCTGGTATGATTTTTAGGTGGTAGCTGTGACGCTTCCGAATGACCTTTAGACGTAGTCTTTTTATCAGCCATGGCTTTGGCAGCACGGCTTAACGTCGTGTATGTAGATGTACCCTGACTACCATCACGGTGTCCTTTTGCTTCCATACGGTGCGCTTGAATTTTTTTTCTAATAAATATACAAAGTAAATAATTACATACAAAAACTGTTATGAAGGTGCTATGAGTACATCGAAGCAACAATATTCGATTCTAATGCTCGCACATATCATGATTACCGTCTTTCTTCTATCTTTTTTTCGTGCGCTTGATGTGCTGCCTCTCGCTTGGCTTTATCTTCTTGTTCTTTTTGATGACGAAGTCGTTCAAATTTAACCATCCGCTACAAGATTTAATCATAATATTTTCAAACAGTTACTACGCGTTTATGATTTAATCGTACTAACATAATACTATAGTTTATATGTAACAATAGATGTTACTGATTCGTAATATTATATCTCTTACATGCTTGTTTTCGTTCTCATCTTCAGTAATAAATTCAAATCCTTTAGATTCTTTTGATTCATCACAACTAGAATTATTACAATTTCCGTGGACACCAGTTTTCTTTGTTGAAACTTCCTCATCAAGTTTATGTTCATTTTCTAATTTTTCAGCTTTTTTACTTTCAACTGTTTTTGAACCTGAACTGACATCTCTTTTATTGCTCTCAGGATTAAATTTACTCGGTCTGTTACTACCAGATCCAGTTCGACTGCGATGACTATCGAGCTTTTTATTGGCAATTGGTGAATTTTTACGCCCATGTGTCAAATCTCTATTCGGTTTAGGGGAATGTGAACGGGCTTTACTCTCAGATGCAAGATTTCTTTTTCCTGCGGCGCCAGCAGAGACTGCCTGATGACCTTGGGGTGTTGTATTTTTCGAACTGTGCGGGCTAGAAGGAATGGTCTTGCAGGACGATGATACTTTTTCTTGATTTCGAGGACTAATAGAGTTTAATTTTCCTTTACGATCGCCTTGCATCTGGTTTGGGGACCCAGCAGGGGAAGATAATTTGTTTTGTTCTTGGGTTTTGAGAGATTTAGGTCGGGCTTTCACTCTTCTAGTTGTACTGTCATCGATGTTGACTTCGAAAGATAGGCCTGTAGGCTTGGAATTGCCAGTATATTCATCGTGTTCTTCTTTCGTATTTACTTTAATCCCTAGAATTTTAAAAAATGTATGTTGCATAACATTTTCCTTATCAGTAACAAACTGCCGTTTAAGTTCTTCATCCTGTGCAGTTATCGCTTGTCTTATTGACGTCATTTTTAATTGAGCTTCATTTAATTTGATCATGTCTGCTTTGGACATCTTGCTTATTGCAGCCGAGTAATTATTACTAGTTTCGTCTGCATCTGTATTGTTTTCTGATACCTGTGGAGCAGTGATAAAGTCTGAATTTGAGCTGATAATATTAACTTCAGAGTCATCTAAGTTAGTTATTTCTGGGTTGGATAAATGATTGTCAGTAACTTTTGTTGATAATTCAACTTGAGCATCTTCATCATCGAGAGAAAAGCTATCAGAGAGTTCTACTTTCGAAAGCAAATTGGACTTTATTGAATTGTCGTGCGATTCATTCGGTATGCGACTGTCAGCGGTAGAGGTAACGCTGTAGCTGCTAGAGCAGATGTGCGTCTTCCTATTGCCATTCCCTTAACAAGCAAGTCGAAAGTTTTGAAGTTTTAAGTGTGCTAGGTGAATATTTTTAAGGCTAAGTTAAATAATGGTTATACTTACTATCATACTCGAAGAGACGAAAAAATTCAGAAAGGAATGCTACGATATTAGATTTTAACATCGTAAATCCGTACACGATGTCTTCAATTGAGGGAAAATGCATTTTACGCGATAGTTGTTGTAAACATATATTTCGAATCAGTGATAAATTTTCGAGTTTTTGTTCAAACGAAGGCTTGTTATGGTGAATATCTAAAATCAGTTAAATGAGCATGTGCAGCATAAGTGATGACTTTAGTGCATAATACGTTTTTGGTAATAGCCTAGTACGCAAAGTAAACATTGCACGTTAGGATCTACGGTAGTTCCTAGCTCTAAATTTAGCTCCAACGTTACAAAGATTTCGTGCAAAAGCAAACAAAAACGTGCATTGACAATTTTACAAATATCAATAATATGGAACTACAATAATTCGGTATAACGCTAGCGTAAATAGAAAATTCGGTGTAATAAGTTGTTATGAACTGTATTTGTAGCATAGTTATACAAGGAGTAAGAACTCTGCACAAAAATATGCATTAATATTCGGCTTTAATACGCGCATATATATTGAATATTAATAAATATTATGAGAGCGAAAAGATTTAGTCAGCTTAATATGGTAGATGAGATCAAAAATGGATTCTTATTAACTACTTTATCTCGGTCAATATCGTAACACTAACTAAATATACAGATATCGATACAGCAATGCTTACGAAGCACGTCATGTTA